ATTTGATAATGAGCTTGAGTTAATAACTTGTAAAGAAGTTATTCCTCACATCAGCACTGTCAGAAGATAAAGAAACAAAATTTGGAAGCACATGCAAGTTTCTAGCTAGTTGTCTGCTTACATGTACTTCTGTCACAGGGAATATGTAGTGTTATCTCTCCGTCAGATAGCTTTGCAGTGGACCTTCACCGAGTGAGTGCCAAACACCAGTCACAATGTGTTAGCTTGTGAGCATGACAATATATTTCATTCTCTGTAAAAGTTCAAATCTTTTTTACATAGATTCAAGGCATTACATAGGGTCAACGTAGATATAGACTTGTATGCATAGGTAGATGTGGATCAATGGAAGCTTTGTTGCTTAACACTGGATGCAGAGTTGGTGCCTTAAGAATAATGTTAGCACGAACGATTCCTTGAAGTCTATTTGCCTACTTTTCTGCTCTCTGTGAGTTGTGCCATATGTTAGGGATCTCCAAGCGCATGTAACCCAATCTCTATTTCAAAGAAAATGGCTTGTTATAGTAAATATCTTGTTTCCTGCTTAGAACTACTTTCTGGAAAATTTCTGTAAGGACAGTGCTGTGAATGTTTGTCTTGGAAATTGTTAATTACTTTAACTTCCCTCTTTTTAAAAAAAAAAAAAAGTGCCCTGAAATGAATCAGAGAGAGTGACTGGTACGTTTGACAGAACCAACCAAACTGTTGAGGAAATTGTTTAAATTAAAATCTCTAGAGGCTGGTGAGTAATTGCAGCCAGGCCTGTGTTAGTTCTCCCTGTTGAATCTTGTTCCAAATAAGAATAGTTGTGATGGTCTCAGCTCCCTTTATATGTGAGAGCTGTAAGTGTTTAGCAAAAGCAGGCAGATAAGTGTAAGTCCCCTTTACCAAGTGGTCACACTAAAAGAAGGAGTGAAGTTGTGCAGGCAAGCAGTGAGCAGAATGATTGAACAGTAAGGCTGTTAAGTAAATTACTAGGTGCAATGCAGTTTACTTACGTCAGACACATTCATCTGTGGTCATTCTGCCAATTTAGCTGGTTTTGTCCAGAGTGCTTGTGGTGCTCATATAAACTCTGTGTCTGTGTGTGTGTGTGCGGGTGTGGGTGCGCATGCATTCAATCATCTATGTGAGGTAGGACATCTTGACTTGAAAACATGCAGACAAACAAAACCAGTGCACTTCTGTTTCTAACAAACACATCTGAGGCTGCAGAGTGTGTTATACACAATCATCAGATCTAATCTTTTCATGTAAGCCTCCATATAGTGTGAGGTGGGGAGAGGACCCTAAAATGCATACATGATGAGATCCTAGCTGTGGAATGTAAATATTACTATCAAGAACACATAGGTCTCAACTGAAAAACAAAATCAAAAGTACAGGCTTCACAAATCACTAGTGCAGTGAGCATACTGTCCTCCCTTCAACTGAGTCAGTTTCCAGCTGGTTCAGCTGAAAGCAGGGTGGCTGAAAGCTCTTGTCAGCCCTGTAACAAGGTTGAGGGTAATCTCTCAGGTGTGCCAGGACAGGTGGATACATGCCCTGTGTTGTTCTGATAAATAACTACCCTGTTTCCCCGAAAATAAGACCTAACCTGAAAATAAGCCCTAGTAGGATTTTTCAGGATGCTCGTAATATAAGCCCTACCCCGAAAATAAGCCCCAGTAAAGGGAAAGCCTGCCCTCCACCATTGTGCAGCAACCAGAAGATGACAGGACTGTAAAATAAAACACCCCCTGAAAATAAGCCCTAATGCGTTTTTTGGAGCAAAAATTAATATAAGACCCTGTCTTATTTTCGGGGAAACATGGTATTGAAGTTCCTTTAATCACGCACAAATCTGCATAGAGCCAGAATGAGAAGGGTCACCTGCAGGCCTCTAGGTTTTAATATTCCAAATGTAAATAGATGTAAAAAAAAAAACAGTCCTTGCCTTTGCCTCTACTCTTGCTAAAGTGCTTTACGTGATGGTTGGCCCCATCCATTTCTAAAGTCCCCTCTTGTTCTGATTATTTTGGTTTGGAAGGGGAGCGGGGACTGAATTTTGAAGGAATTGCTACTTAGGATGACAATTTTCTAGGGCCACGTGTTAAAGTGCCACGTACATAACTATCAGCCAACCTACACAAATCATACTGTGTGGTGCCTGGGGCATTTCTCTTTTTTATGGATGTGCAAAGCTTATATCTTGTAATGGAATTGTGTTCCCTAAAAAGCCTCTCAGGAGCACTGATTAATTTCAAACAAGAGATGTCCTTCCTGTAGGTCTTGTTCTAAAGCGGGTTAGCCTGCTCAGGAGTCCCTTTGCCACAGCATTGCCCTAGTTAGGGGGTGTGGCCTCCACTGGGCTAGGAGTGGCTATGTGGCCCCTTTAATGCCAGATGTTGGTCAGCCCTCCAGTAATATAAGCCATAAGAGAGCTGACTGAGCATTGTTGAGATGACTGTTGAGTAACAAGCTGTTTCTGAATCAGGGGACCTCATTGAAGTTTGTCCAAAAGGTTTATATATATAAACCTATTTCATAGGTATCTAATTTATTTTTATTTTATTTTTATTTTATTTATTTCATTTATACCCCGCCTATCTAGTCAATTGTGACCACTCTAGGCAGCTGAATAAACAATTTGATGTTCAGCAGTAGCTCTCCACTCCCTCTGTTACTGTTTGTCTGTTTGAGAAACATGAAGGCATACTGCAAGTTACTGGAAAACCATCATTTGTTGTTTGAGAATGCATAAATCACAGAACACACATTTATTTACTAAGGCAGTTCTTTTCCCAGAAGCCTTCGCCACCAGCTGTGCTGGCCGGAGTTTCTGGGAGCTGCAGTCCAAGAACACTTGGGTTACTCATGGTTGGGAACCACGGTATAAGGTGTTGTTGACTACTAAGAACTAGAGATGGGGGTACTCGTATACGAATATGAATTACCCCCCCCAGACACACACACAGGTGGAGATAACGAGGGTTCGGTCCCCTGGGGCCAGACCGTCCACTCACCCTTCCTCTGCTGCCATGGGCTTCCTGTCACTCGCTGTGGATTAACCACTCCTGGCAGGAGGCGGAAGGACGAGCCTCTCTGCTAGGTCAAAGAGTGGCTAATCCACCGCGAGCGCCTGGCCGATCGGAAGGGAGTGCGGATCCTGCGGCAGGAGTGGAAGGGTGAGTGGACGGTCTGGCTCCAGAGGGGCAGACCCTCGTTATCTCCACCTGTGTGTGTGTGGGTATTCGTATGTGAATACAAATGCCTCCATCTCTGCTAAGAACCCATAAATGATTTTTTTGGTGGGTATAAAAAACATCAGAGGCAGGTACACACAAGTCACTATCAGCTCCCTGGACTCTTTTGCCTCTTGATCATAACAGATTTGACACAAATGTAGCTGCCCTGGAATGGACTGTGTGTGTGGATAAGCTTACTAAACAGTATTATGTTTTTAATTTTAATTTCCTTGTCTTTTGATGCTTTCAGATGGTTTTTCTTTTTGCTGGCTCTTGATGCCAGTTTTACAAAAATATATTGCACTGTGGCATATGGTAGAGTGGTAGTAGGTTCAATGCATTCTCTAGTTCTTACAGTTTTGTGGCTTATTTTAAAATATATATTTATTGGATACTTTTGCCATAGTGAACAGTGTGATACAATAAATTGTGTACTCAAATGCTTGTGTGCTGCTTATTTTTATTGGTGATTTCTGAGGTGTAACATATGGTATGGGATAACGCTTTACTTGCTCCAGGCCTTACTTGTATACATCTATTCATGCGTCCATGTGTATCTCCAAGTATCTTTATTTAACCATAAAACTGCCTGCAGTGCCTTTATAATTCCATGCCTTGTTCTCCACTGAAAGAACAAGAGTCCTTTCATTCGGAACGTCCTTTGTGGAAAGGCCTGTATATACTTTCCTAATTGCGGCAGGCGACAGGAAGACAAAACCCTATTGGTTAACTTACTGAAATATTAATAAGCCTTATTGTTCTGCTGCTTGTTCTGAACGTTGATGGCTTGTAACACAAAGCGGTCGTCTGACAGGGACAAGTTGCATTTGCAAGGCGTTAGGCCTGTGGAGGATAAGCCCTTCCTTCGAACAAGAAATCTACATTTCAGAAGCAAGGTGAAGGCACACATAGTGTACAAGTTTGCATTCAGCCGACTGATGTTGCAGCAGTAAAGTGTGTACTGCCCGTATTCATTCTAGCTGGTAATCCCCTTGAAGGGTTTCCACAGTAACCTAGTCCAAATCCTTATTTTGATGATGAATGTACACGAGTCGTACTTCAGCAGATTAATTTTGTGTAATGGAAAAACCCCAGAGGTATGTTTATAGAACAGATTCTGATATTTAATATATCCTTTCACAGTGGTGTCATTGGATGGAGATTATCCGGCCACACTCCATTCTGTGCACCTCTTTTTATATAATACCCTAAACTGCAGCAGTATGTGTGGACAGCATTTTCTAGTGTTGCAGCCAGAGGGTTCTTAATCCTCCAGGTATCCAGCATTTTCTCTCTCTTTCTCTCTGTCAAAACTATCGATACAGCTGTAGCCATGGGATGTCCCTCTACTGAGGATGGGTATTTGCATGGACCTTGATATTGTGGTTTCTCTTTAGATTGTATAACTCTCACTAAGGCCATTTAAATGGAATATGAGCCGATTACGTTTTGGTGCACATGTATTCTGTTTGCTCTGAAAGTGTTGATTATTCAGTTGAAAATGTCTTTCATGGATAGATGTAGTCAATGTGATGTCATAGTTTCAAGGGTAGAAATAACCATGTCTGGATTCAAATTCCCACTCAACTATGCAACACTTCCGCTCTCCTATAATTTGCTCAGGCAGTTAAGAGCCAGCCATGTTTTTGTGCCAGCTCTCTCCTTTGAGGCATTACTTGCTTCTGAGCTTAGTTGTAATACAGTTCCAACCGCGGTAGTTGAAAGGCAAACTAGAGGGGTGAAAAAAATAACCATGTAATGTCTTGTTTCTAGATCTCTTGGAAAAGTCCCGTGTTGTTAAACAACCCAGAGGTGAAAGAAATTTTCACATTTTCTATCAGATCTTGTCTGGAGGATCAGAAGATCTGCTCAGTAAGTCCAGTTTCAAGTAGTGTATTTGTCTATAATAAAATTGTGTATGAAACCAAGCAAGTTAGCTAATTTATTTCAGTGACTTCTGAGGGCTTTTAATGCACATGTGGACAATAGCCATAGTTCATCATGCTGATCAAAGCAGGAAAGGAAGGAAAACATTGTTGCTGTTAGTCTAACTTGCTTTGGTTTCCTTAGAAAAACTTAAACTGGAGAAGGATTTCAGTCGATACAACTACCTGAACCTGGGCTCTGCAATAGTAAATGGAGTAGATGACGCTGCAAACTTCAGAACAGTCCGGGTAAGAACTGCTGCTTCCTTGTTAAGTAGGGGCCCTCTTTCAACCTGGGTTTGAAGTCCTGCTTCTCAACCAGCGATAAGAGCTTTTTGTCAATAAAACACACTTCTTGGAAGGTGTCAGACTCTCCTTGGTGAACGGGAGTCTCAGCATCGTCTCTTGTGCACCGTGCAATGGCAGCTGCACTGCTGTGTGGATCTTGCAGTGGACATGATGTCAGCAAGTCTGGGGATGGATAGGGTGCTCTTAATCTGGTGTTTCTTAAATGTTGCTCTCAAAATTTGCTCTCGGATGCTGTTTTCATCATGCGGTAGAAGCTATCTTGGGAAAGGTCTTACCTATAACGCTGGCTCATAGAGAGTAAATAAATATCTGTAATAAATGTGTGCTTATGAAAATCACACAAAAGAGACTAACTTGAATGCAGCATGTCATTGTCGTTTAGAGCTGCCACATTCGAAGTTGGAATGGCAATTAGAATGTCCATCCTCTGTAGAAGAAGAAAAAGGACTTAAATGGCTTTCTGAAGAAAGTCCAGTCAAGGAGGAAGACACATTTTCTAAACTCGGTGTATGGTATATTTGGCAAGAGGAGCTATGGTATAGTTCAGTGATAACATAGGCACTGAAGCAGGATCTAGACAAGACACAGGTGAAGTTGGTCACTTGGTAGCTGAGTAATCCCGTTGTCACCTCTGCAGTGGTAAATGGAGAAGAAAATTCCTCTGGCAAACCAAGTTTAGGGGTGTCTTAATTTGACCCATATGAATCTGTGGCCAAGTCAGCATTTTACCATCTGGTCCAGAAATGTTCTCCTTCCCTGGAGAGGACAGATGGGAGTGATGCTAATCTTCTAATCTCAATATTCACCAATTGTAATTGGCTCTACATGGGGTTGCCCTTGAAGACCATTTGGAAGCTTCAAGTGGTAAACCCTACTGGCAGCTGCCTCCTGCCACATTTGTGTGACACCCATCCTGCACCAATTGAATTGCCTGGGAGTGGTTTTCTGGGTTCAGTTCAAGGTGGTGACTACAGATGGGCACAAACCATGAACTTTCCAAACTTTAAAAAAAAAGAACCATGAACCGTTTTGTTTTTGAAAAAAAGTTCATGCCTGGGGCGAGGAGAAACAACCCTCCACTCCCTCTGCCACCCGCCTGCCTCCTTCCCACTGCTCCCATCAGCTCCCTACCTGGCCTCTGTGCATGCCGACGCTTGTGCGCTGGTAGGTTGCACATGCACAGAGACAGCAGGCTCAGTTCCCTGAAGGGAACCCAGGCCATTTTCTCTGAAAATGGCGGCAGCAGAGAAGGAGAAAGAGGAAGTGGCAGCACAAGGTAGAGAGGCGACGGTTGCAGTGGGAAGAGGGTGGGGGGGGAAACAAACCAAGAAGTTCATTAAATCATTTTAAAATTCATTGGTTCAGAACATTTTGGTTCGTCAGTTTTTATGAACTCAAACTGACCCCAACCAACAAAACAGGAGTTTTTTTCGCAAACTTTCTTGTTCGGGTTTGTTTGTTTCTTTTGTTGTCATTTTTGGTTCATGCCCATCTCTGGTGTTGACTATGAGACCTAAAATGCAACGTGGCTTGATCCAATGTAACATCTGGACCACCACCATGCATCTTAGGCGCTGCAACCAACTGAGGTTGTCTCGGGCTGCCCTTTTGAAGCTGGCAATTGTATCATGTATGAGGAAAATATCCTTTCATGTTGCTTCCCTTGTGTTTTGCAATTCTTTTCCTGAGTCCCTATGAAACATTATATCCTTGCAAGGCGGAAGGAGATGTTGGGCAGAATTGTTCTGATGGACCTTTGGGTGTGGTGGGTTTTTAAAATAAAAAATTGGTTGTTTCCACCACTTATATGAATAGTTTTTGCGGTTTGAAAATATGTTTCATGTATTTTTAATATCCCGTTTAGCTATGATGTATGCCATTCTAGGCATTCCCAAACAGAAGAATGGCATGTCGATGAAAATAGTAAATAGATATCATGATTAGAGAATTAGACTGACTAAAGATACCTTGATTTAAGTCTAGCTCTCCAGGAATATTCTTTTGTAACTTTTCAGATATATTTGGCAACCTCTCAATCTAAAATGTCTCACATAATTTTGGAGGAAGGCAGAGTAAAAATGTGATAAATGAAACTTGGTTTCTATCTTTTAGAATGCCATGCAGATTGTGGGATTTATGGACCATGAGACGCAATCCGTTTTTGAAGTTGTTGCGGCTGTCTTAAAATTGGGAAACATTGAATTTAAACCCGAATCTCGAGTGAATGGTTTAGACGAAAGCAAAATCAAAGATAAAAATGGTAAAAACATTTTCCTGTAAATAAAAATTATTTACATAGTAATGACTGGTTTAAATATTTTTTTAAGCTTTGATTGTAAAGATACTCATTGCCTGAGCAGATGAACATCATATTTATTAAATTTGTTTCTAAAACAAAATAAAAACATATTTATGTATAATTGTTACTGGAATTCTGTGAAAAAAACGTTGATTATTGTAAGATGATTTTGTTTGCCTTATAGGTCTTTTTGCCCTTCAAATTTTTGAGTTCTGAGTTACTGCCAACTTACGTATTACTTGTGTTGTATTCTTCTGCACACTTAGCAGCAATTCCAGCTGAACTCAAAGAGGTGCTTTTCTTGGCTAGTTATGCTTAGAACCGAGAGATAATTGTGCCCTTTACTCCCCAAATCACTTATTTCTACTCACTCGAATATTATCTGTGACACATAGTGACTGAATCCTTCTGGTGTTCACATCAGGGGGTAGCTTGCTGCGCCAAATTGATGAGCTTCCTGGGCCCACCTCAGTGGCACAGTCGGGCACACAACACAGATGCACCCCAGCACCTTGGCAATTAGCCATGGCAAGTTGCACAAACCTTACGTGAGCACCAATAGGATTTTGGACAAATTCTCTGAACTTAAGGTTGATTTAATACAACCAATATGAAAACAACACCATAATTTTTGTGCTTGGTTTCTTTACATCCATAGAACTGAAAGAAATATGTGAGTTGACAGGCATTGACCAGTCCGTGCTGGAACGAGCGTTCAGTTTCCGTACAGTTGAAGCCAAGCAGGAAAAGGTCTCCACAACCCTAAACGTGGCTCAGGTAACACCATATTATTATACAAGTGGTTAAATGTGGATCGAGAAAGAAACTTTTGTGGACACTTTTGGAGGAGATATCTTTTTTCCATTATTTTTCTATGGGAAATAAGAAAGAGTATCGGATGGTTCCTAAGTAGGTAGCCAGTTCCCTGCCGAAGGGGCGTCTGTGCACCTTTAACTAGTTTTGCAGTCTGTGACTGTTGTATAAAACAGCCTTCTGTAGTTGTGTCTGATTTTCCTGAATTTACTCCATGCACCTAGCAGTGTCGGAGCTGTGTGTGATACAGTCCTGTGAAGGAATTACATGCTAATAACACCTTCACTTGGTTAAGGCACGCGTTTCAGGGGTCTTCCCTAGTGATCACTACTGTTTTCTTTCCTGCCAGAAAGCCACAGTTGCATGGGAAGGAACCCCCCCATGATTGACCTTGCTCATGTGGCAAGAGTTATTCATGTACACATTCTCCACAGTGTAGGCTCACATCCTACTGAAATGGCTCCCACGTTGCTGACTATGAATGTGAAGTGGGGAAGGGAGCACAGGCTTGTGCTCTGTTTCAAGTGTTTATCCTAGCCAGCACTTCAGTATAAGAGATTTACATTTTCCTTCTCCCCCCCCCCCCCAATACTGCACATAAATACACTGAAAACCCAGTCTGGACTATAGCCACTGGTGGTATATAATCCAGTGGCTTTGGTGGAAGCCATACAGGTTTGAGTCTGAGATTACTTGGAAACTCCCTGGAGGGTGTCTTGAATTCAATTCAAGTAAAATAAAAAAATTAATTGAATTGAATGAGGAAAATGAGTTATGTGAAATAAATAAAATAATGATTTAATGATGGCAACGTTAATATTGTAATGGGAAATTCCCATGCATTTTATAACTTCTGCTGAGCATGTGTGCTTGTCCAGATTTATCACTGAAAACAGAGCGCATTTGATGGTGGGGTATTTTCTGCCACAGCCAGAAACTCTCATAGACAAGTTCTAAATACTTATTGTACTCGTATATCTTTTTTCAAGGCTTACTATGCTCGGGATGCTCTGGCAAAGAATCTTTACAGTAGACTGTTCTCCTGGCTTGTTACCAGAATCAATGAGAGCATTAAGGTAATGTTTACTGAAATTCAGTATAATATGAATGTATAAGAATGATAGATAAAATAGGCTGACACAGCAATACCAGAGTTGCTAGCCGATAAATAGTAGATTCATTTGTATCATATTGCTGACCTTTTCTGTCCTTTTGTGCTATTACATTTGATTCATTTAAATTATTGGGCAATATGACTGTCTTTCATTCAGTAATTATTTGAATTGTTTTTTTAAGGCACAAACGAAAGTAAGAAAGAAAGTCATGGGAGTTCTGGACATTTATGGCTTTGAAATCTTTGAGGTACTGTCTTATAAATGCATTTCTGTGTTTAGTTGTAAGAAATTGTATAATAATATAATATTAGTCATAATAACATAACACCACCCACATGTTCCAAGGCAAGGCTATATTCCCAGAGCCTAGAGTTGTGGGGGTGGGAGAGTTGCCGACAGGACAGGACCACATTAAACTACTGAATGTCCAACAGTAGCAGCTGTAATGTTAAAAGGCCAGAGTAAATAATTATTTTTATCTGATGAGGGTATAGATGCAAACATACAAAACAGGAAGGACATACATAGCATGTAGTAGTGTCTTTATTAAGGATGCACCCGTAGTAATCATCTGCTTAACCTTAGGCACAAACACTTACAGAAGGGTCTCCCCAGATGAGCCAAGGTGGCTGTATTGGTATTACTAGATCAAGACTAAATACAGTACAGGTATTCCAAAGCTATATTCCCAGGTATTCTTGATCATGAAAAAGAGGCTAATGAGAAAACCTAGTTTTGTTACTTTATCCTCCTCCCTTTTCTCCATATTTTTAAGAGGTTCTAGACATACTCATTTTTTATCTCATGAAATATTTTTGGTTATTAATTTTTAGTACATCCCTTGATCCTATGAAAGATACCAGCTATACTGATAATAGCAAACCTTTGGTAGCTCCCGAATGCAGCAGCTACAGGCTGCCTGTCATGACTTCCTTGTTGGTAGGACACACAGCTTCTTTGCATTCATGGCATTATATGACCCTATAGAATTATAGGGTTGGATGTGTGACAGCCTCCTCTCACGTCACAAAGGAGCTGCCACGTCACACTCACACTCACTTTATTTCACGCTGCCACCAACCATTCCCTCATAAGACGCTTCAGACAAAAGTATGATTTTTAAAATAAAAACATATGTTCATTGATAACAACAAAAGGAATGGTAAATCACTATAATAATTAAAAATAAAAGGCAATCAGTAATAATAAAGTACCCACACACACACACACTCTCTCTCAGACCTTCACTCTCTATATATAACACAGGACGACACAACATGTACAAGCCCTAACTCCCTAAGTCCCTATCCAGACCCTATCTGACTCACACCTCATTCACTCCCCCTTAAATACCTTAGCTCCACCCTCTTATGTCCCACCTCCCGTCACGCTATTTGCAGATGACACGCAGCCACAGCAATGACGGGCAGATGATGCCACCGCTACCGTAACAGATGACAAGGCCCATTTAGTTCAATCCACCAGTGCAGAAACACACCCCGACAAATGGTTACCCAGCCTTTGTTTAAAAACCTAATGATGTTGTGTTGTTTTGTTTATAAGGAATTGTTTTCCTCTGTCCTGGGTTTAAAAAAAACCTGCAGGGACCATCCGTAAAACATGTCAAACATAGCAAGAGGGAAAGGAAGGTAGGGTAGCACAGCAGTGACAAAAGAGGACTAAAATAGGCCATAGCATAGGATGGGAAGGAGGATTTTAGAAACTGGACATACTTTAAATAGAGTTCTTTGCTGGAATAAGATTTTGCTACCCATTAGGCTCTATGTGACAATATCAGAGCTGAATAACCTAAAAGCCCTTCGTTTGGTGGTGGTTGTGGTTTTTTTTTCTTTTCCAAGTGTAGTGGTCTGAAGATCTGTGTTGGTGGGTTGCACCTCCCAAATTTATTTTTGGGGAATTCTGGGCCTTTCAGTCCAAAAAATATGAAAAAGCACATCTTTATTTGTGGACCTGTGTAGTGCTTTTCTCAAACAAGTATTGTAGGATGCTTTCAAGTTTGGTTTTTAAGAGAAAGGCAGCTTCTAAATGTTTTCATTTATAAACCTAAAGAATTAAACATTGTAGACAACATACAAAGTGATTCCCCCCCCCGAGGTTTCTCTCTACTCATGGTATACAATAGGAGAATAAGCTAGATAAGCCATTCCAAAGTCTTTCCAAATCTGTTCAGTTCAGCAAAACCAACAAAGACTGGTAGCTAGAATCCTGTTGAAATTATCCATGTGCTTAGTATGCATGACATTATAAATTTGCGTCATTTGGCCGTTTGCCTGTCACGAGACCAGTTGTCTGCTGGGCGTGCAATCAGTTGCACAGGAGACAGGCCACCATATGGTATAAAGAGCTTGTGTGATTAATGTTGCATGCAGAAATATTGGAAGATTCTCACCCGATGTGTTTTATTTGGCACAAGCGTTTGTGAATTGCAACCCTTTCTTTAAATGCAGTGGGTGGCGGTCCATAAAAGCTTTTAATTGACTTGCCTTTAAGGGACCACGTGGCTCTTTGTTGTTTTTGCTGCTACAAATTTCACACTTACATGGCTCTCCCTCTGGAAATTAATGTAATGAGTGCATATTAAATATATCTCAGCATTTTTAATTGATGTATTTATTTGTGTAGAGTTTCATTCCAATGACCTTTGAAGAATCTTAGTTTTTTATTATTAAGAATACATTTAACTTGGAATGGAAATGTTGCTTGCAGTCCTAATCAAGGGGAAATGTCAGGTAAATTTACTTTTACCTGAGGCAATTGTGCTATGTATCATCATCATTGTCGTTGTTGTCATCTGAGATCTGCAGAGCTCGAAGGGACCTTATGAATCATGGAGTCTAGCTTTATCTGGTTTCTGCCATAGGAAATATCCTTTCTTTCAATATAGTTTAGTTCTGTATGTTTTAAGGCCTAACTCCTTATAGGTGGAGAGTCTTTTGACCATCACATCCAAAATATTTCTTGTTGTTTCTCGTAGCTCTTTCCCATCCTTTGCTCTGCTTTTATTCAAAGACCAAGAGCATGAATATCAATACGTACAACCCCTTTCTGATTCATTGGGTGAAACCCTATTGCTTAGTATAGTACGTTGCGCTAGAGTAGTGGAGGTTTGGTCAACTCCTTCATATCCTAGAGATTCAAATGGGCCTACTCTGGTTGCAGCTTATGACATTAAAGTAAATCAGAACTAAAGTAGGAATTTGGAATCAATGAAACCTGTTGAGGAGGTGACTTACCAAATCCCAACTGGGCTTACTCTCTGCTAGACAACATGATTTCAGCCTCTGTCTGTCTGTCTGTCTGTCTGTTAACAAGATTTCAGCCTCTGTGTCTGTCTGTCTGTCTGTCTGTCTCTCTCTCTCTCTCTCTGTGTGTGTGTGTGTGTGTGTGATGAAGTATATAGAGGTAAATATGCATATTTTAATTACAACTTTGTGCCTAAGTTGCCATTTTTTAAAAAAAATGAAGATAATACAAGGAGGGCAACACAAATGCCAACCATAATCTGCAGCAGTGCAGGTGTGTGCATGAGGAGGTAACCCTTTAATCCCCTGCTTTAGTCCATCCGCGAGAATCAATCCTCCAAAGCAGGGATTTGCTCTGTGGGGCCAACCCCTGTTGGATGGATTTGCTGCACACCCTCCACCCTACATGACCATTTGTCTGTTTTTGATTCACAGGAGAACAGTTTTGAGCAGTTCATTATTAACTACTGCAACGAGAAACTACAACAGATCTTCATTGAGCTTACCTTAAAAGAAGAGCAAGAAGAATACATACGAGAGGTAGGGCCCTTATGTTTCCTGGGTTAATGGTGCTGCTGATAGCCAGCAATCCAGGCCTGTCATGCAAGAAGTATTCTTGTTGCTGTTTGCCTTTAACAGCTTTTAATGTGTTTTTTCCTTGCTGGTAGTGATGACCTTGTCAGGTATAAAGCTGAGCTACAATATTGACATGCTGTTAATGGGATATGAGTGTTAGTAGCCCTGAAACCAAATACATGCTTGAAAGGCCACAGAATAAAGCAAAAGTGAAATCTCTGCTCCTGTTGGCAAAGATATTCTTGTTGGCAAGGATGTCCTTTTAGACAGAAGGATTTCTGGAGTAGGCTCCTACACCTAAAAATTATACATGTACAGTATTTTATTCTGGTACAGCATTGCCACTAATAAATCTGCTAAAAGCATATGAGTGTGACTTTATTAAGGTAGAAATGCCCTAAATGGCCCGTGCAGCAGCAGCAGTTTGTGGAAGTCCTGATCTAGGCTCACCAGCCTTTAGGTGCAACTGGGGCAAAATCCAGATTGCTGCCCTAGGGCTGCATATGGAGAATTACAGTGGGGTCTCTACTTAAGAACGTCCCTACTTAAGAACAATCCAACTTAAGAACAGCTCCATTTGCTAAATTTTGCTTCTACTTGAGAACAGAAATCCAAGATAAGAACAGGAAAAAAAACCTTTCCTGCTCTTTTTTTAACCTTAGGTCATCTTAGGTTAAAAAAAAATTTCTCCCCCTAGTGGTAGAGTACGTATTAACCAGCTTTGCATTAGTTCCTATGGGAACTAATGCTTCAATGTACGAACGCACCTCTATATAACAAAAAAACAGCCAGAACGGATTAATTGGTTTTCAGCCCATTCCTATGGGAAATTTTGCTTCAACTTAAGAACGTTTCAACTTAAGAACACCATTCCAAAATGGATTAAGTTCTGAAGTAGAGGTTCCACTGTAGTTTCTATGGATGGAAAACAGCAGATACGAATTAAATGGTTTTCAATGCATTCCTATGGGAAATGCAGATTCAACATAAGAACTTTTCAACTTGAGAACCACCTTCCAATACGGATTAAGTTCAGGGCTGCATATGGAGAATTAACAGGTCTGGGTTGGACGCAGACGATACTCTCCTGTAAGAACTGACTGGATACTTGGAGAAAGCTTGCATAAAAAAACAAAAATGAAAACAAAAGCATGTGGTGCCGGAAGCAGTCAACAGATTCAGTTCAATGTGAGCTTTTATAGATCACAATCCACTTCCTCAGATAGGTGGAGCAAAATAGTTAGGCCACGGATTTATATACAAATGCTAGAATTCTCTTGGTAGATCCATTAAGTCAGTTGTGGAATGGCAAGTCAATTCATGGTTCAGTGTCTGAAATACTGTTGCAGCTAGCATAGGCCCCTTGAATCGGTGTGTATTTGGTGAGTTGGCTTCTCCATAAGTTCTGTTAATTCAATGGGCCAACTCTACTTGTGCATTAACTACACTAAGCCACAGGATCTTGACCACAGAGTGCATGGTGAGTGGCAGGGGGAAATGAGTTTGGAACTGTTGAAAACGTAAATGCACTCTTTCATGCCAGGTCCCCCTGTACTGTTGAAAAACTCTGATTTGCCTCTCTTGGTTTCCCTAGTGCTGACCTACTGCCTGATCAGTACAGTGGTGCCTGGCATAGCAAGGTTAATCCGTTCCGGATTAACCTTCGCTATAGCGAAACATCGCTGAACGGGACAGGGAAAGCCATTGGCTTTCCAAAAGGCTCCTTTACTCACTGTTCAGCGAGGTTTCCTATGGCTGGGAGCCAGAGCTTTTATAGATCACAATCCACTTCCTCAGATACGTGGAGCAAAATAGTTAGGCCACGGATTTATATACAAATGCTAGAATTCTCTTGGTTAGACCCATTAAGTCAGTTGTGGAATGGCAAGTCAATTCATGGTTCAGTGTCTGAAATACTGTTGCAGCTAGCATAGGCCCCTTGAATCGGTGTGTATTTGGTGAGTTGGCTTCTCCATAAGTTCTGTTAATTCAATGGGCCAACTCTACTTGTGCATTAACTACACTAAGCCACAGGATCTTGACCACAGAGTGCATGGTGAGTGGCAGGGGGAAATGAGTTTGGAACTGTTGAAAACATAAATGCACTCTTTCATGCCAGGTGCCCCTGTGCTGTTGAAAAACTCTGATTTGCCTCTCTTGGTTTCCCTACTGCTGACCTACTGCCACCTCAGTACATTGGGAGCAGAACCATGACCAGAGACTGGGGAGGGAGTTGGGATGATGCCTATGGACTGTAGTATTCAGTTGGATGGCACTGTGTCCCACCAGGACTTGATCCCTGACTCACTGGCTTACAGCTGGTGTGATGTCATTTACATTTAATTTCTCTCCTCCTGTACATGAAGATTAAAATCAGAAAAGTCTCTGGGCTTTTTGAGGTGAAATTGTCGTTTCCTCAGAAATACTCCCAAGATGTGCAGAGCATTTATTGACCCAAGGCTTTGCGCTAAAAGGATTTGGCTCTGTTTCAGTTAAGTGCATGGGAAATTGACACAGATTGAGGGAATGGAATGGAAAGCTAATCTGGCAGTCATTCAAGGACACTCATTTCCCTTCAACATCATTACTAGGTCTTGCCTTTTTTTTTTTTTTACCAAATACTAAGGCCCCAAATAATCATTGCAATGGGGATGGCGTGGGGGGTTGCAAAGAGAGAGAGAGACAGGAAAAAAGAGAAACAGACACAAACAAAATTTCTTCCTTTTCCTTTGAACTACATTGGCCCTTTGAATGTAGTTCAAAGCAATTATCGGAATTTTAATATGACTTTCACCCCCACCTTTCTGTGTATCTGTGAGCCCTGCCAGCCTTGACCCAGTCCACGGAGGCGTCTTGCTCCATCCGCCCAAATGAAAAGCACTCCCAGATTCCTGTACTACGTTTGGGGTCGCTGTTTAAACCTGGGAACAGGGTATCCTTCTCTTGGAATATTCTTATCAAACAGCCAGTGGTTCCTTTTACATGGCTGCTATAAACTTTGCCTCAGCTAAGGGCTGACTTTGCACCTCTTTTTTAAAATTAAGTACCTTTTGGCGAAGTGCAGTTTTGTTTACTTGGTGGTACAAAATGAACCATGTCACATAGCAATGACCTGCAGTGTAATATCTTGGGATTGCTAGCTATAAGATATTAAGCAGGGTTTATAAACCAAAGGGAGTTTTATTTTAAAAATAACACAAAAGAAATAAAAAGGTTCCACAAACAGACTGGAAAGAATGACTCCAAGAACAATGCTTCATGCTCTCTATTTTTACAGGCTATAACGATTAGGCTTTACTTTCTTCTTTAGAATTTGAAGCACCTGGCGTTTCTTATTCATAGACAGTTACCTGTTTTGACAAAACTACTGACAAAACCACACTTCTATTCACAATGTCTTCATTAACAGACCACTTTCGTTCTAACTTCCAAACTCGAAGTGAGCACTATCCAACGACACAAAAAATTCACACCTCTGATTGACTTATTCTCTCTTACACACACCCATATGTACAAAAGAGAGTACGTTATTTCCAGCCAGGAACCATACAGATCATTCATTTTGTGATTCCATTCATAAACATTTATCTACATGCTATACATCCCCCATACAATTGTCAGTCAATCCCAGTGAAACAATCAATTTGACAGTGTTCTGCTTGCTGTAACATTTTTACTATCTCCCCTTGTGTCTTCCTTGAAAAAAAATTATTAAATAAGAATTGAAAGGTTTGGCCCTCTTAATTCCTGGAAACTAAGTGGGATTTAACTTCATGCTTGAGGTAGTTCTGCAGGTCTCTGTGATGAGTGAAGAGTAATTTTGGTTGTTATTTCTCTTCTCAGTTTCTGTATTTTATTTTTCTAGGGTATTGAATGGACCCACATTGAATACTTCAACAATGCTATAATTTGTGACCTAATAGAAAATGTAAGTCATGGTTACAGGAAGTAAACATTTGTGGCCTTTTCTGGAATTTTCTTATTCTGCTAATATTAGAGAGGTTGTCAGTCATAAAGAATTACTGTTGCTTTTACTTTCACTATATATTTCAAAGAAAACAAGAAGTTGCAGGGAGCATCTGTTATTGCCTTTTCCCACTTTCTTATGGTTTCATTCATTCCTTGGCAAGAATGCGAAAGCTAGAATGGCGTTTCAACCTGCAAAGTGCATGTTTGGGCAGGTGGGAATGGAGAGATCATGATGGCAATTTTCTCCTCAAATGATTTGTCTTATTATGAATTGCATCTGAATTTCTTATTGGAAGCTTAACAGCTTTGCTCCCCGTTGATGTGCAGTAAAGTACAGTCTTTGCCAATAGTAATATCTCAACCTTATAAATATATAAATTCCTTAATTCATCTCTAGCAGTGAACAAACAATTTGGTGTTACAGATCTTGTCAGTTTCCTGTCAGGTGCTCCTGTCGTTGTTGTTATTCTCCTCCTTGAGCGATCTGTTTCTAAGATGGCCTCTTTTATTTTAGAATTATGGTAAAGAATGGTGTGATGTGTGAACTACTCCTCTATGTTATGTTCCCAGTGGTGCGCTGAAGGAACCATGAGGGCAGAGTCAGTGATGAGATTCCCTCCCTCCCAACCAAGCCTGGGAAGGAGGCCTGCCCATGTAGATTTAGTACAAACAAGAAAAAATCTAGAAGTTGACAAACAAGGAGGTAGTTTCTCAGTTGCTGTGTGTGCAAGTCTGCTCTCAAGATCGTTACAGAAAGAGTGTTGTTGCTTGTGTTCCTGTTCAGAACGGAGTGCAAAGAGATCTGTAATGAATGTTTATTTGGAACAGAAACTAGTTTATATCATCACATTCAAAACAACAGTATGGGTTCAATGCCAACTACCCAGCACAACAAGACGCTTTGGGCAGCACAGTAATCAAAAGGTGAGGACGTGGCCTTGGCTGCTTGGCCCACTCCAGGTCAACCAACAACAACATGAAACAGTTCCCCGAAAAACCACCACAATATATAACTTAAATAGACAGTAAGTTAACCAATTTTTTAAAAAATGTAAGAAAAAAACCAAACAGGGAAAACAATCCTTCCCCTCCCTCCTTCACACAAATACAGATTAAAAATAGTATAATAAAAAGCATACAAGTTCTCTTTACCAAAGAAAAAAACCAAGAAAACTTGCAAGCAAATAAAGGCAAACAATTCAATCAAAGCCCCCCACAACCAAAGCTATTAGACTATGGGAGATTTTCCTACTCCCCACTTGATGCCTTCTCTTCTCTTCTTGAGTCCAGCAGGCAGCAGCAGAAGTAATTTGAGAAAGGAAAGAGGGGATCCCCAAATAAATCTGGGAAGAATGTTGTTAAAAAATAATCTGAAGAAGGCATGCTGGCATAGACAGCAAAATAATTCAATGAAATGGGGGGAAATCCTCCCAGAAATAAAGCGAAGAAGAAGAAGAAGAAGAAGAAGAAGAAGAAGAAGAAGAAGAAGAAGAAGAAGAAGAAGAAGAAGAAGAAGAAGAAGAAGAAGAAGAAAGGAAAAAAGCAGAGAAAGGATTCAAGATGAAGGTTCAGGCCAGTCATCAGCCTAACACACAGTGATGACTGAAGCGAAAAGAGCACTTCTCACTGAGTTCCTGGCCCTTTTGTAGATTCAAAATTCCTGCTGTCCCTGGACGTTCTGATTGGCTACTGATGGCCCTCATGGTCCTATTGGATTGAATATTTCTGAGGTGATTTGACATATAAAAGGGAAAAGAAAGGTTGCACAAAAGAGGGAAGGTGAAAGAAACACAAAACTTTTGTGTAACTTTTGTAAAAACAAACCATATGTGTTTTAGAGGCTGTCTTTTGCCAGTCAGTGAAATAACATGAATTACAGTATTATACAAAGGAAACCACAACATTCTGGTCTTCAGTTTGAATGTGAATGGCCCATCCCTAACCTCAGACATCCCACTAGCTAGCTGAGGGAGAAATTGATTTTCCCAGGAACATTATATTGCTGTACATTACAGTGGTGCCTCGCTTAATGAGGATAATCTGTTCCAGCGAAATCGCTGGAAAACGAAATCCTCGTTAAGCGAAATAAAAAAGCCCATTGAAAACTCTTCAGTGCGTTCCAATGGGCTGAAAACTCAACATCCAGCAAAGATCCTCCATAGGGGCACCCATTTTTGCTGCCTGTAAAGCAAGGAATGCGTCCTAACAAACAGCGGGAGCCATTTTGTTCTCCCGGTGGCCATTTTGAAACCTGACGATCGTCAGTTTTAGATCATCATAATGCAAAAATCGGTTCCCGAGGCAGGGAACCGATCATCGTGAAGCAGATTTTCCCCATTTAAACCATCGTTTTGCGATCACTTTTGTGATCGCAAAACCTAATCGTCAAGCGATTTCCTCGTTAAGCGAGGCAATTGTTAAGCGAGGCACAACTGTATTCCAGTTGTAATGAAATGTATTTAAGGGTGGTTTGTTGTTGAATGGGCAATCAAACTTTACCACAAAATCCACAATATGTTAATCTGGACTCATCTACCTGCATCCATTTTGGACACTTCTTATGGGGGAGGACTGGTTATAGAAACTGTCATGATGAGTACCTTCCAGATCATCCATTACACAGCTGCTTCAAGAGCGGGGTAAATATGTATCCAGTGATCTTGTAAGTATTTAAGAGCTGGTCTCAGGCCTCTCCTTATTCCTGCTGTCCCTAAAATAGGACATGTTATCTCAAATGTAAGGTTGGTGCTTCTTCTAAGCTAAAACCAGTGCTTTCAGCTATCAGAGTCCTATCTTCCAGTTCTATTTTTTTTTACTGCGGATGCTGAGAACAAAAATTGTCTTTGCAGATGTTTCTCTGCAGCATATTCCACTGAGTTTTTAACTGAGCAAGCATAATAATATTAGTAAAATTCATAACTTCTTACGAGGAATTATTGCCTGCTGGGTGTTGGCTGTTTCTTGAGCTGTAGAGGCCCTTTTTAATCATGGGAAGCTCTTTTTTTCCCCTTGAAATTCTTCTGTCTCTATTGAAATCATTCACTTTGTGAAAATCTTTGAATGGATGGAAAGGAAGATGCTAAGTATTTCCAACATGGATGGAAATGGGCCATTAAAATAGGCTGCAGGAGAAAACTAGTAACAATTTCCACCTTGTTCTCTCAGCATTATTTCTCCCCATTTTTTTCTTTCCATTTGGCACATACTTGAAGGGACCTTGAAATGAGTGTGTTCATACAGTAGGACCCCTCCGATCCTCTGGGGCTTGCTTCCAAGCCCCTGTGGATACTGAAAACTGTGGATAATAGGAAACACATACTCTTTATAAAGCATGGCAAAAGGCAAAAACAAACAAACAAACAAAATTGCTTCTAAGCCCCTGTAGATACTGAAAACTGTGGATAATAGGAAACACATACTCTTTATAAAGCATGGCAAAAGGCAAAAACAAACAAACAAACAAACACTCTTTATAAAGCATGGTAAAAGGTAAAAAAAACCCAGGAAAATTATTTAACATGCATTACCAGACACCATGTTATGTATTCTTCACTAACAGGTATTCATAACATGGTGTCTGAGTCCCTCTAGTGGCTGATTCTGGCAATACATGTGAAAACAGTTTTTTCTGGATTTTTTTCTTTCAAATATTTTTTTAAAATTTTCAGACTATGGATAGGTGAAACCGTGGATACTGTGTGCAGTTCTACTGTGAGGTAGAACTTGCAGAGTTGAAGTGCCTCAGAGTGTGCTAGTAGTTGATTGGTAAGGATGATGACACTGTGTGCCAGTAGTTCCACTTTCCTATTTTCTGAACTTAGCTCCTGTCCTCACAGCAGAGTGGGTGACTCTTTTCCAACACTAGCATACTGTGAGCTACCTGTTTCTGATGAAGGAGACTAGCAGCACCGGTTTGTTAATATGGCTTAACATGTCCATCTGTGTTTTTGTGTTCTTCTCCAGTGTATGGCTGGGAGGAGTCCTATGATAAGCATCTGCACTTCTAAATATTACTATACACCACTAGGCCCATCTAGCCTAGTATTAACTGCTTCAGTGAGCACTAGGTTTCCAGCTTCTTTGACAGAATACAGTGGTGCCTCGCATTGCGGCATTAATTCGTTCCGCAAAAATTGCTGCAGAACCAAAAGGTTGCAATGCGAAATAAAAAAGCCCATAGAAACGCATTAAAATGCAATTAATGCGTTCCTATGGGCTTAAAACTCACCGTTCAGCGAAGATCCTCCATAGCGCAGCCATTTCTGGTGCCTCTTAAGCGAGGAATCGGTCCCAGAAAACAGCGGGCAGCCATGTTTTTTTTCCGGTGGCCATTTTGAAACCGCCGATCAGCTGGCCGAAAATGGTCGCTTTGTGATGATTGGTCATCGCAAAGTGAAATTCCCCCATAGGGAACATCGCAAAGCGATCGCTTTTGCAATAGTCCAAAATGCGTCACAAAGTGTTTTTGTCGCTAAACGGAGCGATCGCTATGCGAGGCACCACTGTACTTTCTGTTCAACGCTACCAGGTGCTGCTTATAATTGGAGATGCCATAGATTGGATCTGGTACCTTCTGTCTTTAAAGAAAGAGCCTCTCCTGTTAAACAGTGGTCTCTGTTTTTCTCCTTCTCTCTCTCTCTCTCTCATTTAAAGAAAGGGCCTCTCCTGTTAAACAGTGGACTCTGGTTTTTCTCCTTTTATGTGTGTGTGTGTGTGTGTGTGTGTGTGTGTGTGTGTGTGTGTGTGTGTGTGTGAGAGAGAGAGAGAGAGAGGTTTAGGCATTTATAACAAAAACGGCAAAAAGATAAGCAGGGTTTCAACTGTTCTAATCTGGCCTTCCAGATGTTATTGTTTGAACTGTAAGTGACATATATTATATTTCTGCTGAAATAATGAAATAAACTGTTTTGTTACATCACAGAATCAGAATGGAATTCTAGCTATGCTGGATGAGGAATGCCTGAGGCCAGGAGCAGTTACAGATGATACCTTCCTAGAAAAATTGAACCAGATCTGTGCTACTCACCAACACTTTGAGAGCAGAATGAGTAAATGTGCACGTTTCTTGAATGACACATCTCTGCCACACAGCTGCTTCAGAATTCAGCATTATGCTGGAAAGGTAATGGGCCTTTTTATGTATGCAGGTAGCTTCCATTCCAGGTTTGGACATTGAAAAACGTGGCTGTTCTTGAAATTTTAAAAAAAGATGCACATCAAGATCACAAGCAGTAATATGTTTACACAATGTAGACCCCCCCATGCCTCCCTAGCTTTGATTCTGTGGTCTTTGCTGAAATAGTTTTGGAGCTGAAGAGTTAAGCCAAATTGTAATGCAATAGCACCTTTCATGCCATACCTTGGGCTGAAAAGAGTGGTTTTGGAAATAGTTGACTTAATAAAGAACTTATGAAAAGAAAATTTGGCAGGGTAAACAATTCTGTTTTTGATGTTTCTTTTCCTTTCCTTTTTCTTGATGGATTCTGGGTGGCAATTTGCTCTTGATGGCTGTTCTATTTTTCTTAAAACTGTCCCCTTCCTCCCGGATGGGTTACCTCTTGCTTTCTGAGACTATTGCTCTCTCCTTTCAGGTAATGTACCAGGTAGAAGGATTTGTTGACAAAAACAATGATCTGCTTTACCGTGACCTCTCCCAAGCCATGTGGAAGGCCAACCACTCCCTCATTAAAGCATTGTTCCCTGAAGGAAACCCCGCCAAGATCAATTTAAAGAGACCCCCAACAGCAGGGTCACAATTTAAAGCTTCTGTGGCGACGCTGATGAAGAACTTGCAAACAAAAAATCCCAATTACATCAGGTAAAGTTCAAGAAATTAAACAAAGGATTGAAAACTCACTATTCTCAGGTTCTTTAAGGTAGATGGGGATTCAAGGGGACATAACAGAAAGTAGAAGAATCATTTTGGTTGTAGGAGTTTTAGCATGAGAAAAGGCACCCTGAAAGGGATTTTTGAAACTACACTGAAACCTCTGGGCCATGAGTATTAAATATTCTCTTGTATACTCGCACCTCACTGTACCATTATAAAAAACCCTCCAAAGTGAGTGTTCAAAGCATGCTAGGCACTCATTTGACATGAAGTTTTTGTTGCACCTGTCTTCTGTTACTTTTCTATAGCTATAGTGTGAGTTACATTTTTTTTAATAATTAGAAATAATCAAGCCTTTTACGTTGTGCCAATGTTACCAGTGCTGTTTCTTGGATATCTCCGAGTATTATTTAGAGATGAAGTTATTGACTTTGTAATTAATAGACTGATGGAATGCTCTTGTAACTTAATCTTGTCACTCGTCATCTGATGCTTCCAATTTTCAACAATTAATGCCTCAGTAGAGCATCATGAATTGGCAGATGCATTTAGCACTGGAGCTTAGCTTTGATTAAATCTATAATAGTTAACGGTCTATATCTACCTCAACATGTGCGTTGGATCATGTCCTCCAAGGCTGATGAATCAACCACAAGAGTGTTTGATTGTCTAAACTGTGTTGAAATTGGGGGACTTCTGGAGGAGTTCTTTAGTTATTTGGCAGTTTTCCAAAAGTTTTGTGATTTCCTACTACTCAAGGTTGACTCAGCCATCTACCCTTCCGAGGTCGGTAAAATGAGTACCCAGCTTGTCCACAAGAGTGCTTGATTGTCTACTCTAAACTGTGTTGAAATTGGGAGACTTCTGGAGGAATTCTTTAGTCATTTGGCAGTTTTCCAAAAGCTTTGTGGTTTCCTACTACCAACTCCCAGTGTACAGACAAGCAGTGCCGCCTTTCTTCTCCTGACATGCTTGTGCACTTAGAATGAGGTTGTACGGCTGTAAAGTTATATATATGCTCCACCCTTGTGCAGCATTGTGCAGCAACAATGCTGCACAAGGGTGGAGGGCGGGGTTTCACTTAACTGGGGCTTATTTTAGGGGTAGGGCTTATATTACGAGCATCCTGAAAACTCATACTAGGGCTTATTTTCAGGTTAGGTCTTATTTTTTGGGGGGGGGGAAACAAGGTATATCACCATGATAATGATTATGCCCCATAATGTATTTTTGTGAGGTGGGAACAAGGTACATCACCATGATAATGATTATGCCCCATAATTATTATGCACTTATTAATGTAATGTGAGGAAGAATGACTTTTGGAACGGTTAATGGTGAGTAGTGAGAGACGAGTGTATGGTTCTCAAATATTTTGAAATTTATTCGCCTGAATTTGTCACGTTGTAAAATGTACAGTTTATTTGGATGAATTCAGACATAAGTAGAGAAGATTTCTGATCTAGGGAGAACATCACTGGCAAGAGGGAAGTCGTCATGCCTCCCCAGCCATCCTGCTCCTGCTGCTCTGACGCCCCAGCAGAGTGCTTCACTCACTCTCCGATTTGCAGAGGGCAATGCTAAAATTACCATCTTCATGCTCCTTTCCAGTCACAGGCTGATTGTGCCACAAGCTGAGGCAAAGTCTAAATCCAAATCATATTACTGTACTCTTCCTTTTCTTGGGTTTTTAAAATACTGATTAGAATCCTGCTGAATATTTATGGTGGCCTAAGTATAAGTGCTGAAAAAAAAATGAGTGTTTTTTTTTAAAAATTGTATAACAGATATGATCATGCAATATTCTAAGCACATATTCTGTTATTTGCAGGTGCATTAAACCCAATGACAAAAAAGCAGCACATATCTTCAATGATGCTTTAGTTTGTCATCAGGTTCGATACCTGGGTCTGCTAGAAAATGTCCGTGTCAGAAGGGCGGGTTATGCATTCAGGCAGCTTTATGAGCCTTGCTTGGAAAGGTACAAAATGCTTTGCAAACAGACGTGGCCGCACTGGAAGGGCCCTGCCAGGTGAGAGTTATTAACAGTGTTTATGTCCTGATTGATTAATTAAGCAATGGGGGTTAAATTTCTGGCATTGCATGCTTTTTCTTTCCTGCATGAACTCCTGGTTTTGGAGGCTGGGTTATGTGTGAGTGCCGACGACCTCTAACCATGATTGATGTTGCTGCTCCAGGGACAGAATTCTACTGAACTCACAGTTAGGATCAAGGGAAAATAATTAATATACCTCAGAGAAAGGAGAAAGAGAAATATCTCAAGCCACATTCCTTAACTACAGCTAAGCAACTGCCAGTTACACTTTCGTTGACTGAGGAGACGAGTTCAAACAACTTACCCATGCAGAGGCCAGAGTTGCTCTGCTTTTTAGCCCTTCAATTGATGCTGGAATGTTCAAGGAGGACAGACCATAATGCCATTGTCCTAGAAGACAACCCATAGTTTTGCATGTTGCCAGAGAGGTTCCTACTAAGAGTTGGACGAGGTATGCAAAATTGTGGTCTCTCTTCCTTACTGCCCAGAGGAACCATTTGTATATGAGTGCCAGGTGCAAGGTCCAAAGGATCAAAGTTATTGCTGGATCGTGCAATGATCCCATTCTGCACACGTTGTGTAGTGTTTTTCCCTTGGAAGTTTTAACCTTGCTGAATATATGCACAATAATGGACCAAACATCTGTTAAAACTTGGTTCACTCTTTCTATTCTGCCTCTTTCCACGTCAAGCTGAATTGTTTTGAAAGTGTGTTCAAGATCTTTATAGCCTTTCCCAATTATACTTTTAATTTTGCTTCATTCTGTGACTGCACACATGCTTTTGAATATTGTAAAGGGTATTGCAATTAGGGATAGTCTGTTAATTTTGCTTGGTTGTACCAGTCATTTTATTCCATTTTGTATGTTTATCTGCAAAATTTGAAGCAATACATTCTATATATGGATTTAAACAATATATATTCTGTGATGTACAGATCAGGATATTTTTCAGGAATTCACAAATACTGAATTCCTCAAGCATTCCTTATTAAAGCATAGAACACTCCCAACTTTGACAGTTTCACAATCTGGTTGTAACTCTTTAATCCTTAATCACTTAATCACAGCAGACATTTGTTGATTTGCATAACATCACCTTGCCGACAAAGGTCTGCATAGTCAAAGGTGTGGTTTTTCCAGTAGTGATGTATGGATGTGAGAGCTGGCCATAAAGAAGGCTGAACGCCAAAAAATTGATGCTTTTGAATTGTGGTGCTGGAGGAGACTCTGGAGAGTCCCCTGGACTGCAAAGAGAACAAACCATTTTGAAGGAAATAAACCCTGATTGCTCCCTGGAAGGACAGATCCTGAAGCTGAGGCTCCAATACTTTGGCCACCTCATGAGAAGAGAAGATTCCCTGGAAAAGACCCTGATGTTGGGAAAATGTGAAGGCATGAGGAGAAGGGGACGACAGAGGTCGAAATGGCCAGGCAGTGTCACTGAAGCAACCAACATGAATTTGACTCAACTCCAGGAGGCAGTGGAAGACAGGAGGGCCTGGCATGCTCATGGGGTCACGAAGAGTCAGACATGACTTAACGACTAAACAACAGGAGCAACAACAACTAATCTCCCTGTAGTCCTTCTCGGTGTTTTTACTGTACACTTTTTTCTGTATAGATCATATGACTGAAATAAACTTATTTGTATTTGATTTGCATAACATTTTCACATTTGGTTACACATGTTTTATAAACCGAAGAAATAACCATTATTGTTCCCCCTTCCCCCCAAACAAGATAGCTTTTTAACATATTGTTTTTACAATATGTTTTTAATGCAGCATGCATCAAGAGATCTTGTTTTATGATATGGATAACTGCTTGCCATTTTTTGTTTTACAGAGCTGGTGTAGAAGTCCTGTTCAATGAGCTGGAGGTTCCTAATGAAGAATTTTCCATGGGTAGATCAAAGATATTCATCCGCAACCCAAGAACAGTATGTGAACCAATACATCTTGGTTATGACAAAGAAATGTCAATTAAAATCTGTCCTCTAATTCAGTGGTCCCCAGCTTTTTTTGGGCCGTGAACCGGCTGGGGGGAGCAAGTTCCCCCACATGAGCACGACACCCCCTCCCTGCATGAGTGTGACACGCCCACTAAGCATGCATGTGGGGGGAGTGGAGATCCATCTCCGTGGCCCAGTTCTAGCAAGTCCACAAACCAGCACCGGGCCGCGGACTGGAAGTTGACAACCCCTGCTCTGCTTCATGTTTTGCTCTTGCAAGATGCTAGAGTTATATTCTGACCAAGGAGAAATTCAGTCTGCTAAGCAATGAAGGGCTAGGGTTTTTTTTTTCTTTTTTTGCACAATTGTAAAATAACAGGAGAGCAGTTAATAGAATGGCATGTTCTTCAGTTACAGTGATATACCATCTACTAACTTACGTAACAGCATACATTCCCTCAGAACAATTGTTTGGTGGACCTGAACTGTAAAATCTGTTTATATTAAACTGATATTCGCCCTTTTGATTTTTGTATGAGAACAAGTAATAAAACTGATCTGCATATACTACCTGACAGGTTGATGAAATGAACTGGACTAGTTTGGCCTGCAAGCAGAAAATTCAAATACTCTCCCATGTACATTGCATATCGGTTCCAGCTCAACCTATTCCCTCTGTGCTATTCCCTGTTGTGAGAAGGGTTTTTTTTTTAACGTGAAGGTATTAAAATGTTATATTTCTACCTGCAGTCAAAAACTGTACAGGCCATTTAATCACATTTAACGTCTACCACTTACTCTGCTGCATATACTGTTAATTAAACTGCAGGAAATTTGGTATTTCGAAAGCTAGTGGGGAAGATTCTTAGCTGAGTCGGAGGAGCTGAAGCTGGTTTGCTCATCTCCAAACTCAGTACTTTAGCCACTGTGCTGCACTAGCTTCTGAACGGGGTCCCTTTTTAGTGCTAATGTCATTTTGCTCTTCTTTCTTTTCTCCAATTCCTCGCTTCCATTCTGTACAGCTCTTCAAATTAGAAGACCTAAGAAAACAGCGCCTTGAGGATTTGGCTACACTAATCCAGAAGATCTACAGAGGCTGGAAGTGCCGCACACGTTTCCTTCTCATGAAAAGGAGTCAGATAGTGGTAGCTGCCTGGTACAGACGATATGCAGTAAGGAAGGATTTTATTTATGTAGGCTTTTATCTGATCCTTTCTTAAGGCTTCTGTGCAGTTAAGAATACGTTAGAAACGTAGAGCAGTGATAAGAGATGGTATTCAACAAAATTGTTGTTATGTGCCATCAAGTTGAAACCAACTTGTGGTGACCCTATAATAGGGCTTTCAAGGTAAGTGAAATATTTGTGGTTTTACGAGTTCCACGCCCCCGGCGAGTTTCCATGGCTGAACAGGGATTTGAACCCAGGCCTCCTGAGTCCTAGTCTGTCACTCTATCCACTACACTGTACTGGGTATCACATTAAGCAAAATACCCAACAGAATTTGCAACATTGCCATGAACGTCAAAACTGCACACAATTATGTTCCTTATGAATATGAAGCATAATGTGAAAATCTGCTTCAAACCAAGGATTCATATGCTGGTTTGTTTTCAGTTATTAACCATGATGTTCAGACATCATGCCCAATCATAGTTAAGAATGTTGCTCTTGAAGCACTGGTGTGGCCTGTTTACCCCACACAGTTTTCATTAGGCAAAGATTACATTTTTTCGTGGAGAAGTTCCACCACCATCATCATAGGCATCCTTCAGTCTCGAGAGACTGTAGTGACATGCTCTGAATCGAGGAATGTCCTCTCCAGAGCATGAAGCCCTGGTAAAGTAATATGGAGGATAGGCTGTTACCCAGGCAGCAGATCCCCCCTCTCCACATTGCTGAAATGGTCCAATGGAAAGGCAAGAGCCAATACAACTGGTTCCAGTGACATCGCAGGAGTGGGCAGAACGACACGAGCTGCCTTCGGGACTCCAGCTCCGGATTTTGCCTCTAGGTTAACTCCTGAAGCCTTTTCCATGAGTGGATATAGCCACAAGGCAGTGGAGGTTTGAAATCGGAGTTTTCCTTCTCCTAGATGGGTTGCCTTCCACCATGGTGTCAGAATAGAACCATTGCAAAGAAGGGTTTTGTTTACATATGCTTTTCCCACTGTACCTCATAAGTTTTGAGGTGCAGTGATAATGAACTTTACTTTTGATAAGCCCTTCTATCTAGGTTCTTGTCAGTGATCCCTTTGATACAGTATGCAAGAATGTGTATCTGTGGTTTCATCAATATTTTACTTTCTACAAAATTCTGATTCCCATCTTTTTAATTTTCAATGTAGCAACAGAAGAAGTACCAACAGACGAAGAATTCTGCCATTGTAGTACAGTCTTACATCAGAGGGTGGAAGGTGAGCTGAGTAAACAATTTGTACTAGGTCTATGTTAACATAGCACTTCTGATTAATCCAGGCTTCCAAATACAGTAGCTGAAACTGAGAATGCAAAGCTTTCCCGATTGGAATCCTGTGGCTATTCGATTTGGGAGTCCCATGTGATCAGGAATACTAACAAACTGCTGTTTAAAATTGACCCAATGATAGTATCTGAAAATAAAGAACTGTGATGTTATTCATTTGTAAAAAGGAAATACAGCCTCTTGGATCAGAAGCATCCTGCACACCACCATGTTGACTCTCTAGATCTCAACTGCTGTTGCCCCATGACAAAGCAGATTTAGAAGGAAGAAAGAAGAAGCAGGCAGAAATAAGAATACCCAAGTCCTTTCTGCTCAGCCCTTTCCCCTCCAGCTCCTTCCACATTTCACTGGCAAGCAGCTAGTGGAATCACTAGCTTGTGCTCCAGAAATGGTGTAGAGGAAGAGTTAATTATTCTTCTGCTCAGCTCTTATAAAAAGTGAATCACACACCTTGCTAGTGGAAAATTTTATTTGAAAGCAGAGGTTAAATGGGAATTCGGAAGCCAATTTGAACTACAGGAGATATTTAGAAATTTCAATACCGATGGTACCAAAACTATTTTTATCAAATATCTTGCCAAATATACTAGACTCTGAAAAATCATACAGCGGTGCCTCACTTAACGATGTTAATTGGTTCAAAAAAACCACATCACTATGCTAAAACATCGTTAAGCAAAACGCGTTTTCCCCTAAAACATCGTTAAGCAAAACACGTTTTCCCATAGAGATGCAGTGAAAACCGGTTAATCCGTTCCAATAGGCACGGATTGCCGTCCTTAAGCGAAAAAACCCATAGGAAACATCGTTAAGCGATACAATGTTTCCTCCATTGGAATGCATTGAAGCCTATTCAATGCATTTCAATGGTTTTGCGATGTCCATTTTTGCAAATTTAAGTGTGTCTTAAAAGGTTCAAAAACTGTTTTAAATGGTTGGAATCGTTATGCACCTTCTAAAACGGTGCAAACTTAATTTGGCTTTGATCTGACTTCATTAATTTTTGCTGAATTTTTTTCCCCACCAACTTTTGACAGCTGTCAAAATTTGACAGCTCCATGCTTTCCTATGGGGGAGAAAAAAATTCGCAAAAAATTAACGAAGACTCAGAACGAAGCCAAACTAAGTTTGTACAAGTTTTGCAAGGTGCTCTAATGAAACCAAACATTTAAAACAGTTTCTGAGTCTTCGTTAATTTATTGTGAATTTTTTTCTCCCCCATAGGAAACAATGGAGCTGTCAAAAGTTGGGCTCCATTGTTTCCTATGGGGGAGGAAAAAATTCACAAAAAATTAACAAAAAGTCAGCAACTGTTTTAAATGCTTGTGTTCATTAGAGCACCTTTTAAATCGTGTGCAAACTTAGTTTGGCTTTGTTCTGAGTCTTCGTTAATTTTGTATGAATACTTTTCTCCCCCATAGGAAACAATGGAGCCCAACTTTTGACAGCTGTCAAAAGTCGGTTTCAATGCTTTCCTATGGGGGAGAAAAAAATTCACCAAAAATTAACGAAAAGTCAGATCAAAGCCAAATTAAGTTTGCCCACGTTTTAGAAGGTGCACTAATGATTCCAAGCATTTAAAACATTTTTGAACATTTTAAGATACTTTTAAAATTGAAAAAATGGACATCGTTAAGCGAAACAGGGGACCTAAAAATGCATTCGCTATGCGAAGCATGGTCCGGAAATCGCTAAGCGAAAATCGCCCATAGGAAACATCATTAAATGATGCATAGAGTTCTTTTAAAAAACCGTTAAGTGAAAACATCGCTAAACGAGGCAATCGTTAAGCGAGGCACCACTGTATTTAACTATTCATATAATAGCAGGAAGAATAGTTTTTGCAAAACACTGGAAGGAACCTAGAATACCACAAATAGATGAAGTGATAGACAAAATCCCCCAAACCCCAGAAATGGACATATTATCAGATTGGCTAGATGCAAAAAAGAAAAAAGGTCATCGAAAAATTTGGTCACAGTTATATACATGGTTACAAAGTAGATAGAATAGCTGATTGATACATAGTTATATGTACAGCTGCAGAAGAGACAGAATAAATGATGGATAAAGACTTTCAGCTGTATAATCAATAATTTGATTAACAATATAATTGTCTGAATTAGATTTTTCCTTCTTACTCACTGTTCATATTTTTTTCTGATATGTGGAACTATTACTAGAAGAGAATGTATAGAATTACTATGAAAAATATTGATTTGTAATGTATCCGTTCAAATCCACCCCCTTCGAGGGTATCGCTATCCCAGCTGTTCCCAACCTCATCCCACCCTAATAAGGAAAAGAAAAAATTATACAAAAAAACCAGATTAAGTGATGGATTGATTAATAGAATTATGGTTTTGCAGAAGGGGAACACTTTCTGGGATCCAGAAATACAACTTGGCCATGGAAGAACTAGTTATAGCTGTAGTATTCTTTCAACTACTAGGGCAGCCCTGCCAGTGTATGCTAGAGGTATGCTCTTTTGGGTTTGGGGACTTAAACTGCTAGAATTAATTCTCCAAGATTTCTATATATGAGAAGGCTATGCAGCCTTGGAAGTAGGCCCTGCTCCAGGTGAGTTAAATGTAGGTGTCAGTAGGTTTGTGTTTGTGGGCTGGAATTTTCTGCCTTCTGCCATTTGGTGGCTCCCAGTTCCCTAGTGCAGCCTGGGGTGTTCTTGCCAAATTGTGGGACTGGAAGTTCTCTCCCCACCCCCACCCCCACGAAAGTCCCATCCTTACTGCTTCCTCTGCTGAAAGAATTTGGAATACAAAATAAGTTAAATAAAACATTTTAATGAAATTCTGTTTCAGTTGTTACGCTTAAAATAACCTGCAGTTTCTGCCCCTTAAACTTTTTCTAGAAGGACAGTGGGGGGAAAATACAGTTTGCTAGATGTTTGCACTACAGCTCCCATAATCCCTTACCATCAGACTTGCTGGTTAAAGCTTATAGAACCTGATCTTCTGTGGAGCTAGAGTTTACACCCTGGTCTAAAACTTGCCATAATATTCATCAAGACACAAGTGGTTGTGTCTTAAAATGCCAGTCAGCAGCAGTAGAATTGCATCCATGTTCAAGAAAATTAGTTTAGACTACAAACAGTTCTTCCTCATGTGCTAGTAAGAATGAATAAGAAGCAAACATTACTCTCTGCCCAATTAGTTCTGCAAAACTGCTTATTTTTAATGTATTAACAACCTGCATCCAAAATCAATTGGTAGAACTTAATTGATGTCCAGAGACTTACAGTACAGAAATGTGAAGTTTTTGTCTCATCCTACGAGGAGTGGAATGGGTAGGTTTGGGGAGAAACAATTTTGTAAAGTTTTGTAAAGTCATTATTTTTCCCAAGTGCTCACTCCGTGTGTGTGTGGCGGTGGCTGTTTTTACAGGCTCGAAAGCTGCTTCGTGAACTGAAGCACCAGAAGCGCTGTGAGGAAGCCGTGACAACTATTGCAGCCTATTGGCATGGTTCTCAGGTAAGAATGCACAAGCTACTTTCCATCCATTCTTGCACGGCGCAAAGATGTCCCAAGTAGACAGGAGAAATGTCTGAATTCAATTCACTTGCCTTTCTCCTTGTAGTTGAGCTTTACTTTTTAACAAGTTTCAGTCTAGCCAGCACATGCTTTCTTTTATACTTAATGAAATGATTTGGGTTCCACCCTGCCTTCTCTTTCCCTCTTTCTTTTATCAGTTGGGAAATTGAAGCAGCCTTCTCTCTCTCTCTCTCTTGCTCAATTTTCTGTAATTTCATTTTCAAATGCACCACAGGCGCGAAGGGAACTGAGGCGGCTGAAGGAGGAGGCTAGAAATAAGCTTGCTATTGCTGTTATTTGGGCTTACTGGCTTGGATTTAAGGTACTACATGCAAGTGTCCTGTGCCCCCAACCCTTCCTTACCCAACTTCGTTACTTAAAAATAAAACAACCAAAGGCGAATCATTGTTACTGGCTTACTAATCTTGAGCATGTAATTCCTAATAACTCTCCATTTTCATCTTTGTCACACTTAACCTAAAAAACACTCATACTAAAAAATAAAAATAAAAAACACCCTAAGATAATCTAGATATACCCACCTATAAAGCACTAATTTGTTTGTTGATGTGCCATTAAATACCTAAACTGAAAAAGATTGACTCACGTCGCTAGAGCATACAAAACTAAGACTGCATGACTGAAAGCAAAATGTCTTCTTAGCATGCTCAGGCAGTTTTTGTAGGTTCCCACACTAAAAATGTTCAGAACTAAGATAACTGTATTAATTAAATTTGCATCAGTGCTTATATAACCCATCTATAATATTTCACATCTTATTAAGGTTTTTCCCCCCATCCTATCACAATGCCAGTTTTTTCACCAATTAGAAAGAAACCTATGGGCAGGATTGCCTAGTTCTGTCAGAGATAAGAGTCAGTTCTTACCAATTTATCCCCATTTTATTGTACCAGTTACAGTAAGTTACTGAACCATTTTCAGGATTAGGAAATAATCCTGCAATCCTATGCATGTCTCCTTAAAACAAGTCTTATTGAATATAATGGAGACTCACTCACAGGCAATGCATATTGGATCACTACCTAAATAACTCAGTGGGGCAAGTGTTTTGCAGCTGCTAAAGGTGTCAAAGAGTCGTGTTATGGTTTCTTGAAGACTGACAATTTTTATTTGGCATAAACCTTAATGGACTGCCACCTATTTGCTTTAAAGCAGCTGGTGAAACAGTCTGCAGTTTGTGGAGGCTTACACCAAGGCTGTCCTACTTTGGACACATCACGAGAAAGCACGATTCTCTAGAAAAGACAATAATGCTGGAAAAGGCCGAAGGCAGCAGGAAAAGAGAAAGACCAAATATGAGATGGACTGACACCCTAAAGGAAGCCACAGGCTTGAGTTTATGAGAGGGGAGGTGGGCAATTGAGGACAGGACATTTTGGAGATCAGTCATTCATAAACAGCTTCATGACACATAACAACAATGACATATAAAATGTGCTGCTCTTTAAGGTGCCACAAGACTGCTTGCTGTGTTTGATGCAGCACACTAAGATGACTATGATACTCCCTGCCAATTTTTTTTACAAAGAAAAAAGAAAATGCCAACATTTGCTGTCAAGCTGTAGGATTGGGCTAGGGGTAGTCTGTAAAAGAGACAGGACTACCTTAGTAAAAGGTTTTGCCCCCTAACTTGCTAAGTTTGTAGATAACTAGCTGTCTTAAAAACAATAATCTGTGGCAGATAGTGGCAGGTTTTGCCGGTCTGGAAGTGTTTGTAATTGACATGTTGGCTACCTTGCCTTTTATAGAAGGCTATTTATGTTAGAAGCCCAATATAGCAGTAGATTCATATTTTTTCAAGAGAAGTGATTAAGATGCAAGTCCAAACTATGACCCTGAAAAAATTCCAGGAATTCCAGTGTCAGCTGTTCTTAGAAACGAAGTTGCAGTAAAAATATCCTTGACAAGTCAGTTTTTGCTCTAGTTTGCTGGAGGCAGGGCAGAGCAAGTGCCCCCCTCACATATGCACATATTTTGGAGTGGCTGCTAGACTTCCTTTCCGCCAGTAGGCTCTGAATTACTGGCATTCGCCTCTTGAATGTGTAATGCAGTGTGATGGACTGGAAGCCGAAGATGGTTATATATGATGACCAAAATGGGCTGGCAATCTTTTTTTTTTAAAAAAAAAAGTCTGCAAACGGTACCTGCTTGACACACTACCATACATAAACAGCCTGCATTAAACCTCACTGATCTGTCTTTTATGGGGGACCCTAGGCTGCCTTATGGAGCCTATACCTTGCATCTAGGAGGAGGTCCTAAGCATTTCCAGATAAAAGATATCAACCATTTGGCCTGAGAAACCCTCCGATCCAAGACCCTGTAAAGTTACTACTAGTCAGAGTAGATTGTATAAATCTGTAAATTAAAATGGCAAGAGATTTTAGAATCTGAGCCTCTGTGGTGTTGTAGCAAAATACTGCAGACTTTGCTTAAGAAAGACAGAAAGTAGTTTTGTGAGCTGCCACAATGGTCAAAATACTGCTGAAGTAAACTAGCATTAAATCTGGTCATAGTTAACATTTTTTTAAAAGCGATTAACATTTTAAAGTGATCACTGGAAATCCTCCCACAAGAGAGCTGTCTCTGGCTTTCTTGAGGTTTAGGTATTTGAGGGGAAAGGGGCTTGACAGAACGAACCTCTTACTGAAAGGTCCTTCCAGTATCATTCTTGTTCTTGGTTTGATCAAGCAATCCACAGCTAATCCCATCCTCATGATAGCCAGGGGTTGGGGGTGTGTGTCTTGGTCAGGTAAGGAATGAAGGGTCACAAGCGATCTATGTAATAGTCTCTGGCTTCTGTCCTTTATGATGTGAGCAAAACTAATATCTCACTGAGAGGAAATGGAGTGTCTGCACTTTTTTAGGAATAGCCATTCCTAGTGACAGTGTCAGAATGGTGGTAGAGGCAGAAGGAGTTTGTCTCCGTTCCAGTCACTCTCAGAGAATTACGGTCCTACCACTTCAGTATTAGGGTGCCTTATCCAGAGAACTGAATAGTGCAGTCCTGTCTGTAGCTACTCAGAAGTTAAGTCCCATTGAGTTTAGTGAGGTTTTCTCCCAGGTCGATAGGACTACAACCTAAGTGTGCTTCCTTGTGTTTCCTTTTATTTGACCTTTATATAAAGACTAAATGCAGATTTAAGATAACAAACCATAGTTTGTACTAAGGTCTTTCAAAGAGGAAAATTTACAGGACATATTTTTCTGCAAGATGCACAAAGTTGTTTATGCCGCAAGTGCGTAGCTAGAGGTCCTAAAGGTGTCATGCCACATCCAGTTGCTTGCACACAGTAGATGTCTGTCCTCTACTAATACTAAAAAAATGAAAAGGAATTATGTAAATGTATGTCCGTACAGAATGCTAGAGGGTTTTTTAAAGCATTTCTTCCATTCTCATTTCTCTTGTGCCTCATGTCCTTTTCTTGTGATGTTTGTGTATGTCTTTGTGTGACAACAAATTAAAAATTGGGGGGAAAAGGCAAGTTTTTTGGGGGAGGGCGGAGTCATTGACATGAAAGTACCATTGCTGGTATAAAATGAAAGGGAGGAATGTGCCATAAAATAGTGGATCCCAAGGATCTGTATTTACCGTGTTCCTGCTTGAGGTCTCTGCCATTGCTGAACAGCATACCTAGGCTGGCTTCTAATATTGACATCTGAATTAACACCCCTTTGATCTGCAACTGTGGAGGTGGCTTCCCATTAAAATTTAAGAAGGATTTTACTCGTGGCCAATGTAACATTCCATATAAGAAAGCCAGTATGAGGGAGCAGCAGCCATTCCTAATTCTTTCATCTGCATCCGCTGGGGCTGTGTTGAGGGGCAGCTGCACTTTCACCCTCTCTTCACACACTGAACCTCTGGAGTTCAAAAGGGGGCTTTCCTTCACTCCCATCTGGCTGTTATTGGCTCTTCTCTCAGTGGGTACGGTTCTTTCTGGTCATCATGCTGTCTGCATTGGGCTGTCTCTATGATTCACTATCTAAACATTTTAGGCTCGGAGGGAGTTGAAACGCTTGAAGGAGGAGGCTAGGCGCAAGCATGCTGTGGCAGTCATTTGGGCTTACTGGCTTGGACTGAAGGTACTCTTTCAAACAGCTCCCTTATGTCAATCATGAACTCAATAAAGCATTGCATCTCTACTAACACAACACATGGTGCTCTGAGGTGGGTTTAACAAGCATGATCATTAAGGATATTTTTTTTCCTCCCCCCCCCCCCCCAAATCACTTTTGAAAAACAAATAAATGGCTGTTGGATATTGTCTCTCTCCTTTTTAAATAGATGTGTTTAATATAGAACACACGCACATACTTATACAGAAATAAATCTAGGAGTATTTGAAGATATTGTTATTTTAACCAGGAATGTGATAAAGGAGGTATAATTAATGTTTTGTTTCATTGTTCTTAAGGAATACTGTCGTAGTGTGCCCATTGCAATAATAATCCAGTTTGGAAGAATGACATGCTATAGCAGAAACTAATGAGGAATGAAGTTTTCTTTCACATATTATTGCCTAGAATTGCTAAGTACAAAGTGCAGTCAACTTTTGCACAATTGAGGGTTGAACGTTGCCTGCAAGCAAGAGCTTCAGGGCCATGTAGGAAACTCACTCTCGTGCTGTTTACTCTCACGGTGGGGGGGGGGGCACAATTTGTGCGAAGGAATACCTTTACATCAGGAGCTTCCCGTGCTGTTGCTGTGGCTTTGTAATTGCAGCATGAATTATCAGTTTGCCATGATTACACAAGTCACAGTAGCTATCCATACAAAGTTGTCAAACAGTGATGATGATCTACAGAAATATGAGTTCTGTGTGAGCACAGTCTGCTTCTGAACCTGATGGGGGCCAGTAGCAAGGGTAAAAATACTATCAAGTTTCATTCAGTGCTTTACATTTAATGGAGTTAGTGTTCCCCCAAATCTTGATTTATCTAATGTACTCAGCTTTGACTGTATCCTCAGTATTGTGTGTCATGCAAACCTGTTTTGGACTAAGGTAGGGCAGAGTTTATAAAAGTGACTCTCAGAAATGTTAGGCTTTTTCTTCCAGTCACTTGTATGCTACAGTGCTCATTCAAACTTTTAGACTGATGCCAGGTCACACTTAATGGTGATGGTCATGTCTTCAAAGAAAGTGACTTGGGGAGATGGGTCGTGAGTGAGAAAAGGTGAGCGTTGTCATGTTAAATCTTCTATATGCTCCCTTGTGACTGGCAGGTGTGGTTTTGTAAGCCTGCACATGATACTGAAAACTAGAAATAATAAGAAGCACTGTTGCATAGGTCCCTTAAAAGAACCCTTTCAAAAATTTTTGTCACCAAACAGGGGCATTGTTTGTACTTTTTGTGATTTATGGTTCTTACATGGCCAAAGAAAACCAAGTTGACAAGCTTGGCCTCTGACTGCAGCATAGTTCAAACATCTCTGGAAAACACGGCTCAAAGAATTTTACCTATCTTTGGTTACCTCAGGAGTTTAGTTAGTTACGACATTTTGCGATAGTTTGATTCCAAAATCTAACCACCACCATCACCTTCGGGATTATTGCATACAATAATACAAGGTGGTTATACTGCGAAGCTGAGCAAGCATTTTTCCTCTGCTTTTTGAATGACTCAATCAGGCACTGGTTTCACTGCAGTGGTAAGCCCATGGGTTGTCCTACTTCAGACTGCAGGCAGTGTCTCTCAAGGTCTGTTGATTGGTATTATTTATTTAGTCCCTTGCTTACTTGCTTATTTTCAATGGGGGGAACATTCAGTCAAGGAAACCACTGTCTGCAGTGTGAAGCGGGACAGCCAAGACCAGGTTTACCTGCAGATAGGTATAGATCTAAGAATGATAAAACTCCTTGTGAATTCTGTTCTAATTTGCCTGTGCTGTCCCACCTTTCAATACCTAGAAGGGCCCTGGACAGGACCCTTATCCTTTGAAACCACCCTTAAAATTGCAATTCAGTGTGCAGTATTGCTATGCTGATGGAAAAGCAAAACAAAAACTGGATGTTTACTTTAAGGTTTTCATTTGTCAGGTCCGCAGAGAGTACAGGAAGTTCTTTCGAGCCAACGCTGGAAGGAAGATTTATGAATTTATTATTCAGAAAATTGTACGTATTTTCATACATACAGCAATGTTGCTACAACTCCATTCATTTGTATCCATTCATTAGCAAAGTGTAGTAAAAATGGTAGTGAAAATTGGGCTTTGAAATATGCATAAATGGGCCAGCTGAAGAATTCTGCCATTTTTTTATAGAGAGAAAAATTTTGCTAAAATTTGCTAAAAATTTATCTAAATGTTGCCAGTACTATTGAGAAATAATACGAATGGTCCGTTTTGTGTGTATTCAGAAATGTTTAATAACAGTGATCATGAATTTTAGTTTAAATCTCAATATCTAGGGTTTTTTTTTTAATGATGAGGATTGTATGATTCGAGCTACATTATGAAGTTCCCTCCTTCAGGGTATGATGGTGGTAGAGCCATTGAAGCTTTATGTCCCACAAATATTTACAGGTATGATGAATATGTACAAGCATCAACAGATAGCAAATGAAAGTGAAGGCCTTATGTAGTGCCAGGAAGACCAGTCCTTTTTCTTTAAGTACAAACACAGAAGACAACTATTTTGAAGGCCTTGGGAATAAGTGTAACACAATATCCTCACAGGGTGCACATAACAAGAGGCCAGAAGTCCTGTCTTCATTAGCCATGGTACAGTGGTGCTTCGCTTAGCGATCGCTCCGTTGAGCGACAAAATCGCTTACCGATGGACTTTTTGCCATCGCAAAAGCGATCGCTTTGCGATGGTCCCTATGGGGAAATTCCACTTTGCAATGTTCACAGGGAAGCGATCATCGCAAAGCCTCCATTTTCGGCCAGCTGATCGGCGGTTTCAAAATGGCCACCGGGTAAACAAAATGGCTGCCCGCTGTTTTCAGGCACGGATGCCTTGCTTTAGAGGCACCGAAAATGGTGGCGCTATGGAGGATCTTCGCTTTAAGGTGAGTTTTAAGCCCATAGGAACGCATTAATCACGTTTTAATGCGTTTCTATGGGCTTTTTACTATCGCTTAGCGATGAAATCGCTTAGCAACGTTTTTTCCGGAACGGATTAACATCACTAAGCAAGGCACCACTGTATAAATAAAGAGTGTGTTGACAACGTCTACATTGGCTTGAGCATGTCATGAGAATGGCTGATGGTCGGATTCCAAAAGATCTGTATGGAGAATTAGTGCAGGGAACGCGCCTCGGAGGAAGACCACAGCTATGATACAAGGATATCTGCAAGCGGGATCTGAAGGCCTTAGGAACGGACCTCAGCAGATAGGAAACTTTGACATCTGAGTGTTCAGCCTGGAGGCAGGCGGTGTAGCATGGCCTCTCCCAATTTGAAGAAGCACTTGTTCAGCAGGCCGAGGCAAAGAGGCAGTCCCGAAACCAGCCAAATCAGGGAGCTGGACAGGGGACAGATTGTATTTGCCTTCAGTGTGGAAGGGATTGTCACTCTTGAATTCGTGTTCTCAGCCACACTAGACGCTGTTCCAAAACTTCTATTCAGAGCATATTACCACAGTCTCTTGAGACTGAAGGTGCCTACTGACTGCACATAGTTGTTCCTCTCCTCACAGGAATGGGTACACAAACTATTATGAGATAGTTTCACATAAAAACAATTGTTTATTATTTAAGTCTGCTCAATCAAAGCACGCCCATAACCCAGCTTTAAATCAGAGTTTATAACTGAACCTGGCTTTTTTAGATACACTTAACAGTAATCTTAGATTTGGACATCACAGAGGTCTGTCCCCTTCTCAGCTACTTTACCCATTCAAGAAAAGGAGAGATGACTGGGCTGTATGCATCAATTAATATTTGAGAGAAATTCTCAGTGATTTCGCTATTGTGTGCTCCTAAACATTTCATAGATTATAGGTCAAAATGAAACTGGATGAGGTGAATTGGGACCTCTTATAAAGCCTCTTCAAGTAGTTCAGTGTTTTAAAATGATTCATTAAAATTCCTCTCTCATTTTTTTTAAAACCTAGATGCAGAAGTATTTTCTGGAAATGAAGAATAAGATGCCATCTTTATCACCAGTAGATAAAAACTGGCCAGCAAGGCCTTATCTCTTCCTGGATTCAACTCACAAGGAACTGAAGAGGATATTTCACCTGTGGAGGGTAACGAGATCATACAACAGTTAAACTTACTGTGGGCTAAATAACGTTTCAGTCCCAACTGGAGTAGAATGATTGCATCCAATGGGGTATCATGCAGGTGGCAAGTAACATGTCCCATTCATTTCTGCTCTGGTTTGGACTAAAACTGGATTTAGCCCTGTGTCTTGATATACCAGTACTTTTACTTACAGGCCACTTTTCTATCAGTAGAGGTTATGGAATAAACGTTTACAATAACAGCAAGTAATAAATAGCAAGAGCAGCAAAGCATGTGATCATATTCACATAATGTCATTGTTTTAAAGAGAATTAATCAAAAGAAATAGAATTTCTTGTAGGATTTATATATTAGCAGTACAGTAAACATTGCCTTTCCTCTCTGCATTAGGGTGATAGCTGTGTCTAGGTAAAGGTAAAGGTTCCCCTTGACAATTTTTGTCCAGTCGTGTTCGCCTCTAGGGGGCGGTACTCATCCCCGTTTCCAAGCCATAGAGCCAGCGTCTTGTCCAAAGACAATCTTCCGTGGTCACATGGCCAGTGCGACTTAGACACAGAACGTTGTTACCTTCCCACTGAGGTGGTCCCTATTTATCTACTTGCATTTGCATGCTTTCGAACTGCTAGGTTGGCGGGAGCTGGGACAAGCGACAGGCACTCACTCCGTCACGTGGATTCGATCTTACAACTGCTGGTCTGACCCTTAGCAGAGGCTTCTGCGGTTTAGCCCGCAGCGCCACCACGACCTGTGTCTAAGTAACCCCTATATACTTGTCCAGCTTGTGAATCAAAGTAGCCATGAAAACCCATTTACAAAGAAAGCTTAAATGTCTGGACGGTTTTAAGAATTCAGGCAAAGTTCCGTGTAAGAATCCATCCAGACATCCCCAGGGAAACTGGTTGAAATTAGAATTTCTTTTTCTCTCTCCCTTTATTCACTTCTCTGAGAAATTCATGTTTCATGCTTATTGTTGTTATTGAAAATAGTTGAATCAGAATGTGAGGGATACCCACCCAAACTTCAACCTCCTCTCTGAGTAATACTATACTTTCCTGTGAAATGAACATTACCCACAGTTGTTGGAATTTACTTAAACCATGGGCTGTTTTGTTAGCAAGTAGTTTCAAAATAGCAAATGAGGCAGTTGTAAATTCCATAAAAATAATTCACAGTATACCTGTCTACCCTGTGAGTTTTAGCTAATGTAGTTATTTAAGAAGCAGGAAGAATAATCACGTTTACACCATCACACTTGAACTGTCTTAAGGTGTGCATATGTTCAGAGAGAAATGTCACTTTTGTACGCCAGCTGGCATGCAGCTGAGTGGTGGGGGGCACGTGTTTCCTTGCTCCACTAATGGAGGTGGAGGAATCGGTGTTGCATGATGTGGTTGTGTTACGGTGTATGCAGCTTTGGGTGTGTGTGTGTGTGGAGGCAGAGGCTTCATCATCACTTGCCCCTCCTGTGGCTGGTAGTGCAGGGAGAGGTGTGCTAGGGGTGAGCCCCCTAGGGTGCTTTTGGGCAATTGGGTCCTTGATTGTGTGCCACCTCATGAGGTTCAGGGACCTAAGGGAGGTGCAGCCCCTCTAAGGCAGCCTCAGGATATGGCCAGCCTTAATTTGTACGACTTGTGTTCAAATCGGATCCAAGGCTGTCTCCCCAAAATGGCCAGCTGGGGTAGGTCTGGTGAGGTACAGCAGGGCCCTGGGGTCAAGAGAGGGGTCTGGGTGGTCCACCTGCTCCCAGACCCAAGTTGAAGCATTCCCTTTGGTCCCATCCCAGGTTAAGGGAGTTGTTGATGAAATTGTGGCTCTTTCTTAAAGCCCATTTCTCATGTCTTGCCTCTTCATTTACTGGCCGGGGGGAGGGGGGGTCAATGAAGAGAGCAGGCACAAATATGTGAACATGATGGCTATGTTGCTGTATATTCATTGTATTTTGGGATGTGAATGTGTCAATCCAGCCATGCACTAGAAAGTGCGCACCTTGAGCACCAAGCAAATAGCAAGCTGTGGCAAATTCCTTTATTTCCCAAGCCAAATTTCAAATAAGAGTTTTCTCAGTCATTTGTCATACCCTTTTTTTTTTAGTGTAAAAAGTACAGAGATGAGTTCACAGACCAGAAGAAGGCTATATATGAAGAAAAACTAGAAGCTAGCGAACTTTTCAAGGACAAGAAGGCTTTATATCCAGCCAGGTGAGGAGGTATTCTAGTGCCTTTTGCTGAGGCAGCAAGATAAAGTGGCCTCATTTATACTGACTGCTCAGAAGAAATTCACTGGAGCATCCAATTTATCTTCACCAGCAGATGCTGCAAATGCTACACCTTCATTAATTCTTGTATCTCCAGTGCCTTTCCTTGAGAATGTATATTATGTGGATTACTAGTCTACTAAATTACTTTTTCCATAACACCATGCCTGCGGAATTGAAATCTAACATGTTTAAGCATACTAAAAAGAACCCTTACATACAAAACCATTAAATGTAGGTTGAAAATAGTTATAATTTACCTACCATTTCAATATAAAATATTTCTGCCTGTCTCCCTCCTGTTCCTTAAGTAAGACAGTACAATGGTGCCTCGCAAGATGATTGTAATTTGTTCCGTGAGAATCGCTGTCTTGCGAAAAAAATCATCTTGTGAGGTTTCCTATGGGAACTTCACAAGACGAATGAAATGTATTCGTCTTGCGAGGCATCGGTCGGGGGGGAGGCCATCTTGTGAATCATGGTCATAGAAGAAGCCGTCTTGTGAAGCACCTTAGTGATCGCAAAAAACAATCCTCTTACGGGTTTTTCATCCCGCGAGGCAATTGTCTTTCGAGGCACCACTGTACTGGGAAACTGGGAACCCATCCAGATGCTACTGGAATTATCAGCCTGGCAGATCATTAGGAACAGTGGAAATTGTAGTTTAACAACTCGGTGTTGTGTACAGTGAAAACCTCTGAGTTTTGCTTGGAGTTCTTTGGAGGGGGTGCCTTTTTTTCCCCCTGGACCATTTGGATGCTGGGTCTTTCATTAAACACAAAAAGAGACCAGATATTTCAGGCTATTCCATTTTATTTTTGCCCATTGATGTTTCTGGTGCTTAGACCAAATAAGGTGTTGTGTTTAATTCATTACAACCCAAATGTCCCGTCCCTATTAACAACTTCTGGAAGGCTTCGTTCCCTTTTGTAGAATCTATTTCTGGAAAGCTCCCTTCCATTCTGTTCAGAGTTCTGCGCTTCTCTTTCTCACCCACTTTCATCCTCCTCCAGCAGCGGAGAGGAAGAAGGGAAAGATGACAGTGAGATCTGTTTTTGCACTCACTTAGTATTGAATCAAAATAGAAAGCAATTCTCTCTGGATGTATTCAAGCATGTTTTAGTTTATTATAGGGTAGAGTAGAAGAAAACAGAGCACTTTCAGTTTTGCTATAAATGACCAACATAGCATGATAGACTGCACATAAAAGCCTGTCGTACAAGGTGATTATTTATAATGCATTAAATGCTCATAGGCTTCCTAATACTTAAGAAAAATGATTCAAGACACAGAGTGTTCAAGTGCCTTCTTCTCTCCTTTTGCACTTTCAGTATTAACATTCTTAACTTGGGTTACAGCTAGTTTATCTTATCAGTTTCTCAGACAGGTAGGAACCTGTCTCCATCGGTTCAGATAAGTCAGCAGCACTGCTTGTTCCAGACAGGGGATACATAACTCATATCGCTTAAGGGGCTGTACACCCTGTCTACATTCTTTCTTTTACCCTCTTTGGAGGGCAGGTGAGCTTATCTTATATGATCAAAGTAGCAAAAAAACAACAAAAGTGGTTTTGGAATTTTAAGAAAGGCTTAATTGTCGGAAGTCTCATCTCTTTCCAGCAAAGCTCAGCCTGATGCCTACTGTGTCTCTCTTTTCTTGAGAGGCTTCTCTGAAAGATGTGTGGACTGTGTAACTATTGGGCTGTGTGTAATCCAGCAGGAGCCCCAGAAACTAAACTGTCTGCTAGGGAAATATAAAGCAGCATGGATTTGCCTGTCCCATAGTTAACAGCAGGAAAACTGTAACTGCACTCAGCGTTCAAGAATGAGCTTCTGATTTTTCTCAGACTAATTTAAAGCAGCTTTGCAAATAAAATCCACAGAATTTAGTCATCTGCAAATCAGGGGGGGAGGGGGAAGCTGTCTGGCTAACTAAGCTGCTCTTGCACACCTAAATAAGGTTGTTTTGGGGGGTGGGTTACAAAAACTTCTCTATTTGATCATAAGAAATTAGTTTTGACTAAAGATAGCTGAGTGTTTGGAATGCCCCTCCGATTAAGTCAGAAAGAGCTTGAATTGTTACTTTTCAAAAATAACTTTCTGTCTATGGCTTTAAAGAATAATGTGTTTGTTTCTGTGCTGATTTTCCTCCCATGGGGGACTCAAGGTGGCTCAGAATGTGTTGGGACCATACAATAATAAGAAGTTTAAATACAGTGGTGCCTCACTTAATGATGTTAATTGGTTCCCAAAAAAACATCGCTATGGGAAAACATTGCTAAGCGAAACACCATTTCCCATAGGAATGCATTGAAAACCGGTTAATCCGTTCCAATGGGAATGGATTACCGTCCTTAAGTGAAAATCACTATAGGAAACATCGCTAAGAGATACAGTGTTTCCCCCATTGGAATGCATTGAATCCTGTTCAATGCATTCCAATGGTTTTGCGATGTCCGTTTTCGCTGTCAAACCTACAGTTCAATGCATTCCAATGGGGGAGAAATAAATTCTCCAAAATTTAACGAAGACTCAGGACAAAGCCAAATAAAGTTTGCACAGGTTTTACAAGGTGCACTAACGATCCCAAGCATTTAAAACCGTTTTTGAACATTTTAAGACACACTTAAAATTGCAAAAACGGACATCGTTAAGCGAAACAGGGGGACCTAAACTGTCATCGCTAAGTGAGGCAAGGTCCCGAACATCGCTATGCGAAATTTCCCCATAGGAAACATCGCTAAACGGAGCGCAAAATTGCTCAAAAAAACCCATCACTAAGCGAATACATTGTTAAACGAGGCAATCGCTAAGCAAGGCACCACTGTACTATACAATACTATTTGTTTAAAAAAAACCCACTAAACATTGATCAAGGTTAAAAACAATTTTAAAAAAACTTTTAAAATGTCAAAATTTTATAAATGGAGTGTTCCCATTGTGGCCTACATGTATCGCTCAACAGCCTGCCTCAAATGGAAGGTCTTTGCTGGAGGATGGAAGGTCAAACCGGAAGGGGCCAACTTGGCTTTTCAGGAGGCTGCATTCCAAAGCCTGGGAGTGGCCACATTATTAACAATGAGCAGCACTCTTGCTGGTGCTGCTCATTGTTAATAATGGACTCATGTCTGTCATTTCTTTTTAGTTACTCTTGGTTTACTTAAAGAAAAAAAAGCAGTTTAAAAGAACAAAGATGGGTCAAAATTATCCAAAATGCCACCCTGCCCCCCCCAAAAAAATCCTTTAAAAGTAATGGATAACTCTTTAGCAATACTAAATAACTAATTGTTATTCCTTGCACTAAAATGTATAAGGAGATTGCCAATCATTATGTTACTCTTTGAACATTACAACTTACATCATTGTCTGCAGCGATGTTAGTCATGCTGCAATCCTTTCAAGCTTTGTTCAAGACATTTTCTGTGTTCTTCTCCCCTCAACAATGCAGAGAGTTAGACTTTATGAGCCAACGTGAGGGGTTAGAAATATTATTTCACTAGAGGAAACAGAGATGTCTTTCCACCAACTTATATTGTAACTACTCAAGCTACTCTGTATGAATGCAAGGGGGGAGGTGGTGAGGGTTATGGAAAGATGGGATGACTTTCAGAGTGACCCAGTGTATTCATAATTAATACCTGTTTAATTTAATGAGTTACTATATCTCCATGACATTTCATAGCAAATCCTAAGAGGTCATAGAAACCAGAAATTCTGATACTTAGATTTAATGCCAGTGAAGGAAGAGTTTGGGGGTGTTGTGAGCCTAGACCCTCCTTTGATATGGATTTTAGTGAGACCCTGTTCTATTTTCAACTTAGCTCAGGGGAATTTCTCCAACATTTCTGATTCTTACATTACCTAAACTACTGATCGGGCTAGTGGAAGTTTACAAGAGGAACATCAAAGGAACCCCTAATTTTGCCCCTCATTTATTGGTTATGAGCTTCACTCTTGCTTTTCGTTTCCTTTGTCTTCCTAAAGCGTTGGCCAACCTTTCCAAGGGGCTTATCTTGAAATCAGCAAAAACCCCAAGTATAAAAGACTGAAAGATGCCGTGGATGAAAAAATTATTATTGCTGAAGTAGTAAACAAAATCAACAGGGCAAACGGAAAGGTAAAAATGATTATGCCTAAGTATATTGTGAAAGCATTTTAGGTTTTTTTTTCCTCCTTCTTTTTGTTCTTTTAATTACATAAAATTTTTTTACTGTACTTCTCATTGTGAATAGATAGTAAGAATTGATATATTTAATTTTATATATCTGGTATTATGTGCAACTAATTCTAATCAGCCAGACTTTTGGAATAGAATAGCTGTACCTGTGGGTGATGGACATTTAAATGCATGAATATCAGTTACACTTTTCACCTACTTTCTCCTAACATTTTCATTACTGGTAAGTATTTTATTCCCTTATTACAGATGGGGAATTCAGCTTGAGAAGTCCAGCTGTTCCTCTTTATCCACTGAGCCATATTGGCTTCCCCTTTTGGTCACCTTTGGTCAGAATCCTGATGAGCATTCCTCACAGAATGACCCTGTGCGATGACACTGCATGTGCTAGCACTGCCCTTGAGCATTTCCATGAAGAAAACCTACTTTCTGTTTGTCAACAACAGCTCTTCTGCACGGGGTGCAGTCCTGCCCTCCAGTACTTTCCGCTCAGCAACAGCTCCGTAAAATAGTGTCCCTAAACCCAAAAAATGCTTGTTGAAGCCCGAAATTGAGGAGGCCTTGAGCCTTAAGTAAGTATTCTGCCTGTGTGATGGTCCCAGAAATAATCTCTCTCCTTCTTCCTCAGAGCAGTGCTAGGATTTTCTTGCTCACAAAAAATAATGTCCTCCTTGCCGACCAGAAGTCAGGACACATCAAAGCAGAGGTCCCTCTGGGAGATGTTATCAAAGTGTCCATGAGCTCTCAGAGTGATGGCTTCTTTGCCGTGCACCTCAAAGAGGTAGGTCCGAAACGTTATATATATATTTTTTTCCAGAATGAAGTGCTGCCAGTCTTTGAACTGCACCCATGATAGAATAATAAGGAAGCACTCCATGTGGGCATAAGTGTCCAGAACCTCTTGCATTTTTTGTTTCAATGGCTGGTTTATTTTTCTGTCACAGGGGTCTGGAGCAGCTGGAAAGGGGGATTTCCTCTTCATCAGTGACCATCTTATCGAAATGGCCACCAAGCTTTACCGCACGATGCTTAGCCAAACCAAGCAGAAGCTCAACATTGAAATATCCGATGAGTATGTTTTGGGCTTTTCCTGTTTTTAAACTTCTATTAAAGTGTTCAAAATGACCTGAAACTGAAGGCTTAAGCCATGCAACGGTAATATCCAACAAGGAAATACATTTTAAAAATCTGAACTTTAAAAACCAGCAACTGTTGAGAAACAGACCACCATAACAAGCCAGTGCAAGCACATGAAAACATCAAGAACTGTCAACAAAAATGATGTGGAGGGAAGTGTGGGTGCCCTCATAGAGAAGGCTCTGCTTTACTTCTCCGTTTCTCAACCTACCCTGACTAAGGTTACGAGTTGAGCAGCCAGAACTGGGACCCACCCTTAGGCCAAGATATTCTTTTCCTGTAAAAGAGGTTTTCTGGACTCTTTATTCTCTTAAGCAATACTACTGCCTAACTATATCCAGAAGGTACCCAGATGGTTCTCCTGTAGGCCAAGATAATTACATTTCAACATGATTTGAACTATTAGGTCTTTCTCCATTATCTCAGGATAGAATTCACTTATATATTTCTAAATATACCTGCTTTAGGAATTCATTCCGCTTAGAAATTCTTCATCTTGACAACTTTACTGGTACCAAGTAATGTGCGGTGCATAATTGATTCTACTGCATGAGCAATTTTCTTGAATAAGAGGTGATAAAATCAGACTCTCCTAGTAATCTTAGTGTGTGTTCTTGTAAAATGGAGTCTTGTGCATTCCATTACTTTCTCACTAATTTATTGCTATAGAATTACTTGCTACAGGAGAGTCTGGAAAAAGTTGAGACTTATGAATTTTTAGATGACTTATTTTTGGCACAAGTGTCAGTGCCACTTTTGATGGCGTTTGAAGGGGAAAACTAAGTTTTTCACAAAACAGTGAAGTGCATTTCATTTATTAAAGCCACAGTTGTCGATGGAGTTTTATCCAATCATATGCTTTGTGTCTTCTACTAAAATCAAATTAGAGTGCACCTAGTAAATATTTAGCATGTTAGGCTAATTTTCTGGTTCCTTTGGTTTCTAGTAGCTGCTTTTCAGAAATCAGATTCCTTGTATGTATGAAAACTGAATGTAACCCAGATATATACCTTCATACGTGGCAAATGTCATGCTTTTGCTTCAAAGGCTTATTAACCCACATGCATATGTGACAAAATAGACACATAAGTACAGTACTCCTAATCCATTTTGGACTTTTTAACCACAAGAAAAGCCCCTTGAATAATGCTCAAGTGATGTTATCCTGCAGAGTTGTTGCTTATTAAGGCAAAGAATGCTGGGGTGTGGGGGAGAGGAAAGTGAAAAGCAGCATAAGCATCCGGATGGGGAACCTGTTGTCTTTCAGATGTTGCTGGACTACAGTTCCCATCATTCAGGACCATTCTTTATGCTAGATAGGACAGATCACAATTCACAACCAACAACATTTGGAGGACCATATATACAAGTGGCTATCATTACCTTACTTGTTATTCAAAAGCTGTTCAGAAAAAAAAATGATTTGGGAAAAGAGCTGTGCTCACGAGTAGAACACATACTTTAGGTGCAGGTGATTCCCCAAGAATCTCCACTGACTGGAACACTACAGTGGAGTCCAGCGTTTGCTAAAATCCAGTATTAAGTCACAATTAGAGTAGGCCCATTGAATCAGTGGAGATTTAGCAAGTCTTCTCCTCCATAAGTTCCAGTGATTCAATGGGTCTACTCTAATTGTGACTTACTACTGGATTTTAGCCAGGATATTTTCCACATGATTTAAGCTTCACCTCTTACTGACCAACAGTCAGAAATGCTGGGAGTTGTAATCCAAAACCTTTGGTGGGCACCACATTTGAGAACGCCGGTGTTGGCAATCCTGAGCTAGGAGTAGGAACTTGATATGCAGCAACACTAGGTTTTTGAAAAACGACCTGGTGGCACCAGCTGCTCTTGAAGGCACTACATTTTGGCACCTGGGATTTCTGTCTATGGGACACAGTTCCCATTCTTTTGTCTTTCATGGCTGTAATACCATATTTCCCCAAAAATAAGACAGGGTCTTATATTAATTTTTGCTCCAAAAATGCATTAGGGCTTATTTTCTGGGGATGTTTTAATTTTTTTTTTCATATACAACAGTCTAGATATATTCAAATGCAGTCCTGACATCTTCTTCTGGTTGCTGCACAATGGTAGAGGGCAGGGTTTCACTTAATAGGGGCTTATTTTTGGGGGTAGAGCTTATATTATGAGCATCCTGAAAAATCATACTAGGGCTTATTTTCAGGTTAGGTCTCATTTTCAGGGAAACAGGGTAGTCATCTCCTTCAAGCTATTTAGAAGATGGTGAACTATGATTAAATGCTGCCTAATCCATCCTTAGGTAGTTCACTTTTTATGTGGTATTTGGAAGAACTAGGATAATTCATGTTGGGAAAGTGTGAAGGCAAGAGGAGAAGGGGACGACAGAGGATGAGATGGTTGGACAGTGTTGTTGAAGCAACCAACATGAATTTAACTCTACTCCGGGAGCAGTGGAAGACAGGAGGGTCTGGCATGCTCTGGTCCATGGGGTCACAAAGAGTCGGACATGACTAAGCGACTAAACAACAACAACAACAGGATAATCCTGCAGGCCATTAGCCACAGTATTCATTCCCCAACTGTTTTAACTGCTGTTTGTGCAAGAGAGAGTGTGTAGTTTGTGATCACCAACAGCATGGCCATCGATTTGTGTTGAGATAGTGCATGCCAAAGGATTGGCCATCATTTTGCTAGTACATTCTTGGTGTGATTGATAAACCATGTTGTTAGAAGGAAGGGCCACTGTGGCTTGCAGCTGGAAAGACACACTCTGCTTAGGCTATAAGAGGTGCAGGCCCATTTTCCCCAGTAGTTCTGCCCTTTGTTTGATTTATTAATTTTTGGTCTTAAGGCAGAAATATTTCTGAAGTTCGTTTAAATCTCACCTGGGCATCTCATATATAAATGCTGAAAAAGAAAGCTGCCTTTTCTGAAAGGGTGGCTGTGTTTTTCCATTTCTTTATCAGAGGCAGCTGTCAAAGCTGAATGGTGCTATAGTATTATCATTATTGTTTCTGGTGCTCACACATGAACTGACAAGAGTGGTGGAAAGTGTTCAGGAATGCTTAAATGAATGATTTGCAAGCAGCTGGGAATTCTGCCTGCCCACGAAGGAATGGACAGCATGAAGAAACGTTGAGCCAAGGAAAGTTGGGAATTAACTTCAAGAAGTAGCTCTAAAACTTGGAGAGGGTTGAATTGGAAAGCAGACTTGATGTGATTAAATAAAGCATTATATAAATAAGTTAGGAAAACGAGGACTTTGTAACATTAAAGGCCAGATGGATTTATGTAAACTTCAAATTAGCATAGATCAGATATGTAGATACAGTTCTGAGTTGTGTTGTATACAACTGAAAAGTTTTACCTAGTGAGCAAAATGTTTCTCAGATGTTCTGCATTTGTTGTGCTATGTTTTTTTTAAAGAGGCAGATGTATTGTTCTTTCAGTAGATGAACAATTCCTGAAATATGATTGTAACTGTGTGCCATAAATAATGTTCCCTAAACACAAGTATAACAGATCAGCATGCAGTTCCAAAGCTAGGACACCAAATTTAAACATCCTTCAGCTTATCAATTCCAGTGCCGTGCCTAGCAATAAATAGGTTTGGTCATAGTTGTCAGGATAGGACCTGGTGTGTAGAGCTGAGTACTGTAGTATTCAAGTGAAGGTGGGTTGGAGCATCCTGGTGGTCTTGCTGTAAAAGAGGACTGGAAACCTGCTGGAAACCTGGAGCAGGTCTTGGAAAAGGCAGTAGTGGGAGCTGTAGTTCTATCAAAATCTGTTTGCATATGGATAGAAACAGGGATTAACAAACCCATTGCCATTCAGAAGAAGAAGCTTATTCTGGATGGGGATGTGGGTCAGTGTGAGTAATTCATGCATAAGAATGGTTTAATCGTAGGCTCTGGTTAGAAGATACCTAGCAGGAAAAATAATCCATTTGTGAGAAATACTGGCTGCTAGAGTTGCTTTACCAGCCTTTTCCCAAAAAACACAAGTCTTGCTGATTTTATTTATATTGACCAATCAAAAACCTGTACTCTGAGAGTGTTCAGGTTTACCTACGCATAAATCAAAAAATAAAGTAGAGCAGGGGTGAGCAAAATGAGGGCTGGAGGCTAGATGTATCCGGTCTCCTAGAGGTTTGTGTAGTTCCCCGTGAAAAAACAACAGCAACAAAACAACCCTGAATTTGAATTCCTGGAAACCTCCAGGAGCTGGGATTCACCTTCTAACAGGATGCCAGATTCCTTGCTCCTTTTATACAGGACACCAAAATCTTTGCACCCCAAATTTCCATTTTCCAAAACCAGGACTGTTCTGGCAGGATCCTGTTTCTGTTTGCTTGCTGGTGCCCTTGTCATTTGACAAAGGGATGCTGAAAAGGGAAGGCAAGGAACAGCCAGCAGAGGAGGAAGCCATATGGCTTCTCCTGTGATGGTGGTGGTAGAACTGATTTTGCATTGACAGTAGTGCAGTGAGTTTTGTATCTTAATTATCTAGCTTTTCCTGGTTGCTGCGAGGACTGCAGTCCAAATAGGCTAATCCTTTAGACTGCGTAGAGATGTGGCGCTGCGGATTAAACCGCAGAAGCCTCTGTGCTGCAAGGTCAGAAGACCAAGCATTCATAAGATCGAATCCACGCAACAGAGTGAGCTCCCGTCGCTTGTCCCAGCTCCTGCCAACCTAGCAGTTCGAAAGCATGTAAAAATGCGAGTAGATAAATAGTACCATCTCGGTGGGACAATGGCGTTCCGTGTCTAGTCGTGCTGGCCACGTGACCACGGAAACTGTCTATGGACAAACGCTGGCTCTATGCCTTGGAAATAGGGATGAGCACAGCGCGCTAGAGTTGGACATGACTGGACTAAATGTCAAGGGGAACCTTTACCTTACCTTGCCTGTTTACTGAGAAGTAAATCCCATCGTGATTCATGGTGCCTTCTCCCGGGGGGGGGGGACTACATATAATATTGACTAAGACATTGCCCCTAACGAATCAGTTAACACTTAAGAAGTGAAATCATTTTTAATGTAAGCACCTACAAAAATAGCACAAAACAACTAGCCTAGACTAAGCATTGCCCTCTTGTTATGACATGGGAAGAAATAACCACCTTCTGGGGTCACCCTGGGACGGTGCAGCTTACCCACGGCTACTCGGGCTGGCTTCTGTCTTGGAACACACCACAGGGAATAATATATTCCTAACGACTGGATTAACAGCCAGATACCTTACTCATTCACAACATAGTTTAACAAAAAAACATCAGTACAAGTATAAAATAAATATAACATATAAAACACCATTTAAAAACCCAACAGCATTCAAACAAGGACATATTAAAATATTAAATATTTTAAATGGCAAGGTTATCTTAAGGCTGATAATTTCAGCAGGTTTCCATCGATGGAAATGCCTGTCATAGAATCATGAAGTTCGAAGGGTCCATCGAGCCCGATCCACTTGCTCATTGCAGAGGCTGTCTAAACAGCCAGGTTTTTAGAAGTTTTTAAAATGTTAACAGCGAGGGAGCCAGGCAGATGTCTGGAAGGAGTAGATTCCATAACCTGGGAGCTACTATCGAGAAGGCCCTGCTCCTAGTCCTCTCCCTCCAGGCCTCCCTCGGGGTCAGTACCTTCTAGGGATACTGTTCTGGGGCCACCCACAACAAAGGGAGAGAACAACCTTGTGGGCTGTCTGCTCTTTCCCATCTAGCTTCAAACACTGTCATTAGAACTCTATATCTTGGTTAGGGAAGCTTCCAACTCAGTGACTGAAAACAGTAGTGATGGTTCAAAATATACAGAGACACATGAGTGTTTAAAAACCCACATGCCTGTCACTAGGATTTCTACAGTATGAATACTGACTTCCAGTTGTTTGGATTTCATGATACTGGAGCTGTAACTTTAACAGACAGACATCTCTTTTATGGTCATATATGTGAAGATTATGATATAATATATTGTAATTATAATAAA